CTGACGACTAGTGTTGTTATGCATATTGCTTCAAATTAAACTTATACAGATTCACGGTTATCACAGGGGAAAGGGTCATATTGCACATCTACAATGAACAGACCAACATGACAACAAAATATGGGAATGCTTATCTGTGTACATTTTACTCAGGGATTTATCTAGGATTCTAAACGATCATAAGTTCCCTGGGTGGGCAAGTTTGGGAGGAAATCGTTATTTGGCTCAAATTGGTCAGTGACATTGAAGTCGATCCAACAAAGCCAAAACTTATAACCATTTAACATGAACTGGGAAGTTTGTAATGCCAATCTGGGAATTGTTACTGACACTTGTTGCAGACATGTGGTCAGTTATCGGCCTATGAGTGGGTCTAGATAAATCCATGTTTACAAAAACTGAAGTGGAAACAACAATCCATGAACATGAATCCAATTCCACATTTGCTCCCAGTATAATAAGTCCCTTGACTACTGCTCTCAGATATTTGGGAATGTGCAATTATTATGAAAACAAGCATTATAGCTCTTGTGAAATTAACTGGTTTATATAGGAGGTGAAGGGTTAAATATAGTAAACAGCTGTACAGACTGGATCAGTGTATGGGATCAGCGAAGAAAGGACATGTTCAATAAAGTTTAAAGGTTGCCCAAGTTAACTTGGGCGTCTCAGAAATGCTTGTTTCCAAAAGTGCTTGGAAGTAGGAACATTATTTTAAGGTAACACTTTTGGCTGGAATATCAATTGGAAATGATGGAACAAACTCGACATTGGATTTATTGAAAATGAGGTGGGAGTTGCTGAAGAAATCTTGCCCTGGTCAAGGGTAGCCCAAAACTCTGGAGGAGTGATGAAACTCTAAATCATTATTGAATATGGATAGTATTAAGCTTTGTTGAGCATTCTGTTATCAGATATCTACTGAATAGGTTTTTTTGGGGGGGATACATCATCACAAGTATAACTATGTGTATGACTGATGCACAAACCTAACAAATACAAGTGTCTATTGCCTCTAGTCCTTGACAACTGTGACAACACACCCCACACCACATTCGCCCTGATCAAAATCATGTACACAAGAATGAACAAGTTCATTGAGAGAACATACAAGGCTTGCTAAGAATGAAACATGTACTTAAACATCATCTAGGAATTACTTAAAAACATGCTGTTATGTACTCCACATGTGCAGGTGCTTGCACTATGAAGAGAAGAGAAACATCAGAAATTCGTCTATACATTGTGTGACTCATATAGGAATATGACCTGCTTAAAACATCGATCAAACAAATAAGAACGTTTCAGTCATCAGTAGTTCATGAAAATACTCATTTTCTCTGCATATTTACTTGAAAATACTCACCATGATTGCAGATCAGGGTGTCGTTGCTAGGGTATGTCACTCTACCTGTGTTGACAAGAAACTGCCTGCGTTTACTTCGACACTTCCGGTTCACAAGCAATCGGCAAATGTCGCGCTTATCACGGATACAGCCGAGGTTATGCCTTCTGTCACGTGACTTGGTTGGGGTTGCTAGGTTTTGTTATCCGTGTTTCCATATCAACACCGGTGAAGGATAAATGGCTTACTGTTAAATTAATCTTTACTAATTTGTTCTTTTCAAATACAATACACATCGAAGATAGCAAATAGTCTGTTCTTTTGAGTGAGAAAACTTGTGTATGAAATGTTAGGCATACACAAAAATATGTACTTGGGTACTTAGGTGATCCATTAAATTTGAATTTGTCACAAATTGTACAAAAAGGTAAAGTTAATTCGAATGCCACCTTTGCACTGGGAAACATTTTATGTGTGTGTGTGTGGGGGGGGGGGGGGGGGGGGGGGGTAGAATGGGGTTCTTTACATTTTGACAGGACATCTATTATGACAAGCGAACAATTATTCTTTGTAAAACCAGAGGCAAATATATATTTTTCCAATAATTTCTGGAATTTGTTTTTTCAAACCAACACCTTCCACTTTCCCCCTTCCCCAGAATATCAAGTTCTCTGCTCCGGAGATAATCTTTGCATTTAGCTACTTCTCAAATCCCTCATTATCCAAACTAATGATACATTCGTTCAAAGTTACAGCATTGTCATATTATGTGTGAATACCTGTGCGTCATCGAGTAAATATACGCAAGATGTAGTTGTCCATTTAAGAAAATTAGATTCGATAATAGTGAGACTTTTAATACCCCACATCTGATTAATATAACTTCTTTGAGATCTTACTAATATGTTATCGAAAGGTCGATTTCTTAAGTTAAGAGTAAAGAAAAGCCGGATTAGACCGAGGAGAGAAGGGCGCGTGTGTAGTAAGTCTGTATGTCGGGGTCGGTCATGTCAAACAACAGTATGCACGGAGAGTGACATCAGTGTCTCCAGCTGACTGACTACTTGAGAGATTGCGATGGATTGATCAGAATTCCAGTTATATCACGGCGTGTCAGATACATTTGGGAGGAAAGCCCGAAGTAATGCAGATAACAGACGTTAACCACTTTGGTGAAACCCACTAGCACTGTTATGGTGTTGAAAAAACCGGATTCGAACTCACGATCTCGGTACCAAAGATGGCGGCGCCTTATTCTCTCATACGACGGGGTGACGACTACATACACACCAGTGAGGTTGTACTCGACTACATACAGACCAGGGAGGTTGTACTCGACTACATACAGACCAGGGAGGTTGTACTCGACTACACACAGGCCAGGGAGGTTGTACTCGACTACATACAGGCCAGGGAGGTTGTACTCGACTACATACAGACCAGGGAGGTTGTACTCGACTACATACAGGCCAGGGAGGTTGTACTCGACTACATACAGGCCAGGGACGTTGTACTCGACTACATACAGACCAGGGAGGTTGTACTCGACTACATACAGACCAGGGAGGTTGTACTCGACTACATACAGACAAGGGAGGTTGTACTCGACTGCATACAGGCCAGGGAGGTTGTACTCGACTACATACAGGCCAGGGAGGTTGTACTCGACTACATACAGGCCAGGGAGATTGTACTCGACTACATACAGGCCAGGGAGGTTGTACTCGACTACATACAGGCCAGGGAGATTGTACTCGACTACATACAGGCCAGGGAGGTTGTACTCGACTACATACGGACCAGGGAGGTTGTACTTGACTACATACATACCAGGGAGGTTGTACTCGACTACATACAGACCAGGGAGGTTGTACTCGACTACATACAGAACAGGGAGATTGTACTCGACTACATACAGGCCAGGGAGGTTGTACTCGACTACATACAGGCCAGGGAGGTTGTACTCGACTACACACAGGCCAGGGAGGTTGTACTCGACTACATACAGGCCAGGGAGGTTGTACTCGACTACATACGAGTGAGTGAGTATGGTTTTACGCCGCTTTTAGCAATATTCCAGCAATATCACGGCGGGGGACACCAGATATGGGCTTCACACATTGTATCCATGTGGGGAATCGAACCCGTGCCTTCAGCGTGACGAGCGAACGCTTTAACCACAAGACTACCCAACCGCCCCTCGACTACATACAGGCCAGGGGGGGTTGTACTCGACTACATACAGGCCAGGGAGATTGTACTCGACTACATACAGGCCAGGGAGATTGTACTTGACTACATACGGACCAGGGAGGTTGTACTCGACTACATACAGACCAGGGAGGTTGTACTCGACTACATACGGACCAGGGAGGTTGTACTCGACTACATACGGACCAGGGAGGTTGTACTCGACTACATACAGACCAGGGAGGTTGTACTCGACAACATACGGACCAGGGAGGTTGTACTCGACTACGTGGAGGCAAGGGAGGTTGTACTCGACTACGTGGAGACCAGGGAGGTTGTACTCGACTACATGGAGACCAGAGGGGTTGTACTCGACTACGTGGAGACCAGGGAGGTTGTACTCGACTACGTGGAGACCAGAGGGGTTGTACTCGACTACGTGGAGACCAGAGGGGTTGTACTCGACTACATACATATCAGGGTGTTCCTGCTCAACTACATTCAGGCCCAGCCAGACCCATACCTGATTTGGAGCATTCATGCATTATATGGTTGACTCGTACACAAATCTAAATGATCCTGTACTTTTATTTTCAATTCACACTTCACTCACTAAGTTGAGTGGGTTAATCCCAGTCACAATTAACCCTTTCAGTGTCCCAAAGAAGCAGCTTTTCCGGACATCCCGGGCGCTACAACATCTACAGGGTTAAATATCATGTCCGGGTCATTGCTACAGATAAATATATATTAACAGAAGCGAATAATGTTTAAAATCATATATATCTTAATTGTGTAAGATTTAATACGTTGTTTTGGGTACGAGTCATCTCGTTGATTATGTACGAGGGGCAATGGGTTATCCAACATTTGTGTAGGCACGGATCTCCATGTTCCCCATTCCAAGTATATACAGATCAAGGAGGTTGTCCTCAATCATATTAAAGTATAAATCTTGACAAAAATTAGCCTAAACATCTGCTTTATATTCTATATTTAGACCTACACAGTGTTATCTTTCATTATAAACATTATGCAACCTATAAAATTAAAAGTTTGTTTTGATTGTAAGAGTACTAAATATTGATTTAAGATCCAAGAGAGATAACTTTACCTATCACTTCACTTTAACTAATCTTAACTGAAAGAAGCGTCAGTAAAATCCAACACTGCACTGCCTATCAATATTTCAACATTTACACAGAACATGTAACAGTGCAACCGTTATTTGTCCATTTCATTTCCACCAGGACTTCATCATGTCTGAGTGGGTGTTGTTTCACTCCAAAGGTCACAATATTACATCATTATCACATCATCTTGTACATAACCAAACATACTATAGGTTGATAGCATGAACAACAATCCATCCGGTCAGCAAAACAGGAATCACAAGATAGCTTCTTCGATCAACAATCTCATTCAATCATAATGAAAAAAAGAAATAATATGACAGAAGAGTACATATGTTAGATAGATTTTATTTCTCAACATGTAACAACAAATAGTAGTGTATACAGCACATACATAACAGCAGCAGAAGATAAGCAGCATCCTCCATCAGCATGAAACCTTGTGAACATATGGTACATATTAGGATTATACATTTGCACACTGTCTCATGATATATTTGTGGCCTGTACCAACACTGACATCACATGAAAACATTTCAAACCATCTTCTAAAACAAGGCATCACAGAATGGAATAAAAGCACAACAAAAGCATAAAAAGCATTGAATAAACAAAAGGGGAGGGGATATAAAATGTGAACGGAAAATATTGTTTGTTCTTTTTCTTGTCCTTTAAATAAAAACATGAAAATTCATATAGTTTAACAGCTGCCTTGGTTGCAAGTTTGGTTTTGTCCCCATACTGAACAATCCCAACTCTTCAAGTATTGATAAGACCAAAATAGGTCCTCAGCTCTACAAAACAACAGTGAAATCATATGAAAGGTTTGGCAAGTTACCATATGTCATATAGAAAACAACACACATTCATAAACCCATTGCACATTTCTAACACAGGTAAACTGAAACTAGCGATAGAAATCGCCACTGGTCCTATAGTCCTTTCCAAACTGCCCAATATTTAAGGTATTATTACAACCAGTAATACATTGCCATTTTTAAAGGGTTTTGCTATATGTCATCTTCAAAAAGTCTAGTGGGCTAAAAATATTAGTTTCCATCGCTGGCAACCATCCATAAGAAGATACCATAGTGACAAAATCATTGAAATTCAAATAATAACAAAATATTTAAATCATGCTCGCTTCCAAAATTAAACAGCCAACACAAACATACGTACATGAACATTTCATAGTAGGTAATGACCGATAACAAAATACTAATATATGTTTAAATTTGCGTCACAATAAGTGTAAAAATCTTTTACTACATCTCTAACAACATCTTTATATGTGTAAAAATGCTCCCTGCAACACAAATAAAATATTTAATATTTAATATCAGTAAGAAACTTTATTGCATAAATAGAATTTAATAATTTGAAAATATGCACAAACATATTCTCTGCTGGATATTTTTCTGAAATGAAAATATCTAGAAACAGCCTGGTGGATTTGGAAACTCTTAATAAGAACAGTCCACAAGTTGTAGGTAACAGACATACAGATTGAGCCCTACGGGTTTGCTCCACATTCAGTAAGACTCATCCAAATCATGATGTTAACATAGGGAATGGGCTTCACACATTGTACCCTTGTAGAGAAACAAACCCAGTCTTAGGTGAGACGAGTAACCTTACCTACTAGGCTACCCACTGTAATGTAACATGTCTCAACACTAGTACTTGCGTTGCTATACAAGTGCAATAATCTTAAACGTGGCGTTAAACCCCATTTCACCTGACCCACCTCAACATGATTACATTAACATTGGTGCTATTATAACTTGTTTTCTCACAAGTGCACACATGAAGACGAAAACAATTACTTAATTTAACACCAAAATATTTATTTTCTGTGATGGAGAAAATAAAGATTCAACATTGGGATGTCCATGGCTTTAACTTTTGGATGGATAAATTCAGCAGTCTTGGGACCATATCAGATGAATAAGTTCAAAGAATCATTCAAACTAACACCCAAAGAGCTTTTTCATTAATGGACAAAATAATGGTGGACAGACAGGTTTCAATCTTTTAACAGTCAGATGAATACATTCAGCAGTCTTCATTGTAGCATATCAGATGTTTAAGTTCAAAGAATTATTCAAACCAACATCCAAATATATATATATATATTTTTTATGGTCCAAATTAAGATGCAACAGAAGATCAAAGTCTTATTTTAATGTACAAAGTAAATATCCAACAGAAGGTTATGCTAGACGTGTTCCTTTGATTTAACTGTCAGACGGAGAAATTCAGCAGTCTTCATGGAACCATAGTCAGTGAATGAATTTTAATGGAAATTGCATACCATTAATGCATACCAGGAGATGGATAAATTAAGCATAATGTCCCTACACTGTATTATTCAGACTCAAAGTACATGTAGTTCTACTGGACGGATATACAGTTTTGATGATACAGCAGTAGACCATTGAAATATATGGACAGATAACATCAGGATTTATCTAGGATACCAAACTTGCCAGGAAAGTTAGTAAAACAGCATTATTTTGTTCAAAACTGGAATTTTTGAAAGTTTCCTTCTCCTAAATTCAGAGGTAATTTAACATTGCATTCAATGCAATAATTTAGTACTAAAGATTAAAGCTTCTTCCCTTTTATTGGTCTAGTTACCAGTGAAGTACAAGTCACCTCAAAGACATAATACTGATTACCATTAATGATTTGGGAATATTCTATTTCATTTGGGAATTTTTACTGACATTTGCTACAGACATGAGTGGTGCACCTCTCCCACTGAGCAGGTCTAGATAAATCCTGTAACACACAGATCAGGTGAGACTCTCTGTGACCTAATCACAGCCTCCTTTGGCACAGACCTCATTGAGGACCTTGTGAGCCTCGGATACTCCTTTCGAGGCTGCGTGATGAATCAATGTGTGGGCTTCTCTGTAAAAGAGACAAATAACATAGAAATAAATGAGTTAACGAGAGAGAGAGAGAGAGAGAGAGAGAGAGAGAGAGAAAGAGAGAGGGAGATTTATGTTTATTATAGTGTCCCATGTTATCTACACTTCATACTAAAACACGTACACAAACAATAAAATATAACATCCGACCACTTATGGCCTACGTGACACTAGACATAAGATCATATGTATAGCGTCATGATCCGGATAAGATAAATTAAGACATATACCAACACAACGTTTAAATAGATTAAGTTACGAGCACACACACTCTCTCACGCCAAATTACTTATACAGTCATGCACACACAATCATACACAAACACGTAGACACACTAATGAATGAACACACACACACACACACACACACACACACACACACACACACACACACACACACACACACACACACACACACACACACACACACACACACACACACACACACACACACACACACACACACACACACACACTGATGACCTCCCACCCCACACAGAAGTGCATTTATCCTCACTGACACTCAACATAAACATTACAAGTATAATATTAATCACAAGCAGAAATACTACTATTAGCAAGCATAATGACATACATGTAGAAAAGCGCACGCGGACTATATATATTAGGTTCACTTACCACTTTCTACAGGAATCTAAACAAGTGAGTGAAAGTGGTTTAAAACCCAAGTCAGCAATATTACAGCTATATCACAGGGAGTGGAGTTGTAAATAAACAAACCCAGGCCACACAGACCACAGGTTGATAGCATGAGCCACACACTGAACAAGGTAACACAGGTAACCACACATTAATGATATGTTGATTATATTTTGAATGGTCCAGCAAACATTCTTCTGCTGAAATGCCTATGTTCACTAATTTTGTACATAACTGCTTTAGAAATATGTCAAGGGTACAGTCGTGCCTCGTTTATACGGACACTTGCGTCATTTCACAATTCGTCCGTAAAAACGAATTTCCGTATAACTGAAACCAGCTTCATACTGGAAGACTTACTTCCCTTCAATTATGCAACTCATGACAGATGACTTGTCATGTCACACAACCAAAGATATAATGCATCTTCCATCTTCTGGTGTTTTGCTACACGGGATCGTCATAAGTCATTTGAATTTTCCGGGAGATTTAGCCACTTCTGTTTGTCTTATAAAATGTCACCAATTGTCAATTTTCCTATGGTATGTCTAAATTCAGTGCCATAATGCTTACTGATAGTTTTCAAACTTGCTGACGGGTGTTTTTCCTTAAACAGACAAATTTCCCTTTTTTCGCGTGCTGTAACTGCGTGTCGCTTACGTTTCGCTGGTTGAAGTCACAACCTCTGACCTCTGACCTCCACAGATGCCATATTTATCGAATGTACATGTACAATAAACAAGCTCGTCTCAAACGTAACTCAGTGTCACTTGGTTAATTGACTTCTCACGAATCAAAGGATTACCACCAGCGGAAGTGTATTGTCCGGGTAAGTGAGACAATTTTGTGTGCATTTCAGTGTTTTGTGTATGAAAATGACCATCCGGTTCCGGAAACTGAATTTCCGTATATATGCGGGTAAATTTATATAGTAATTATTTCGTTTTGAATAAAAATCGTCCAGGAACCAAGGTTTCCGGATATCTGAAGTCCGTATAAGCGGGGCATGACTGTATTGCTATATGTTATCATAATTAGGACAAGAGGACAAAAAACGTTAGTTTCTACTGCTGCATAAGAATGTAACCATCTTCTGACCCTGTTTTGATGTCAGTCTTGAGACCCCGGAGGTACCCGATGGCTAGGTTGTAGGAGGCATGGGGATGACCTTGATCGGCAGCCTTCCTGAAATAGAAAATATGCAGAATCAGCAAATATTGTTGAACACAACAGAGGAACTACTGAAAACAACCAGCATCTCAGTAGGACCAGCTGGCATCGACACTCCCCAAATCTTGCAGGTGAATCACAACATGTATAAGCATGGGCCATCAACCTGTCCTACAGGACACTCAATTCAAGTAACAGCAGGCCTTCTGCTATTTCTGCCAGCCACGGGCCAAAGGACCAGCAGTTATGTTTACCCCTGGTACTTCATGTGGGAAATTGAACTCTTCATGACGAGAGAATGCTTTAACCACAAGGCTATAACACTACCCCACTAGACTCATGGTCAAACGATCTATGAAGGCAACTTTGCCTGTCATAAAAGGCGACTAATGGGATGGGGTGGTCAGGCTCGCTGACTTGGTTGATGCATGTCATAATAAAGACTCATTGTATCCCAATTGCATAGATCGATGCACATGATGTCAATCCCTGGATTGTCTGGTCCAGACTTGATTATTCACAGACTGTCGTCATATGGCAGGAATATTGCTGAGTGCGACAAACAACAAACAAACAAAACAGATATGAACGTTGCGTGTTCAATCCTTGGGAATGAAAAAAACCATTTGCTATTTGATTCTACATTTCATGACATGTTACAATCTGAACGAAAGTTGTACATGTAAAAGCTGGTGAGTGAATAAATGAATGTTGCCTTGGACAGCATTTCCAAATACAGTGGCCGGCAACAAGCCACGACACCACAACAATTGGCAATGTTCGATATTAAGAGTGGTCCTTGTGTCCATGAAAGTTTTCTGTAATGGTATTTGCATGTACCTTTGGAACACTTACTAAAATAATTCACACTTTACTTCGTCATTTGGGTTATGACAAGGGCCCCCTGGCTTTCATGTTTAATTTAGATCACCTATCAAAATTATTCTGAAGCTGCTTGCATTTTAATAGACTGTCATACAGACCCTGAAACAAATTTTTCCAATACAGCTGTTGCAAGTCTAAAATAGTTGGCAAGTTTAGATTACTGCAGTTTCGGAAAATGTTTTGTTTCTCTGTAAAATATTGTCATTTCAGAGACTAGATGTCAGTCTAGCGGTTTACCTGAACCACTCCATGGCCTTGCCAGCATGTCGGTCTATCCCCTTGCCATGCAGGTACCGCTGCCCCACCTGGTGCTGTGCAGTTGCATAGCCCATATGTGCATAGGCATGCGCAATGTGGAAATGCAGGTGGTCAAAGTAGAAGTAGGCATAGATGACCAGTGACACTGTGAACACAATCAGTAGTACCTGAAACATAGCATGGGTAGGCTAAAGTACCTGAAACATAGCATGCGTAGGCTAAAGTACCTGAAACATAGCATGGGTAGGCTAAAGTACCTGAAACAAAGCATGGGTAGGCTAAAGTACCTGAAACATAGCATGGGTAGGCTAAAGTACCTGAAACAAAGCATGGGTAGGTTAAAGTACCTGAAACATAGCATGGGTAGGCTAAAGTACCTGAAACATAGCATGGGTAGGTTAAAGTACCTGAAACATAGCATGGGTAGGCTACAGTACCTGAAACATAGCATGGGTAGGCTAAAGTACCTGAAACATAGCACCATTGAGTTTAAGAACCTGAAGCAAAGCATGGGTAGACTGAACTACCTGAAACATAGCACCGGTAGGCTTAAGTACCTGAAACTTAGCATGGATTGGCTAAAATACCTGAAACATAGCATGGGTAGGAAACATAGCACCCGTATGCTTAAGTACCTGAAATGGGTAGACAGTCCACTAACCAACAGCATTAAATAATATTGAAAAATCTTCTCACCAATAAAGAGCATGTATGCAGGTTTGTTTCCTTGTGATTTCGAAAGAAAGTGAGTTTGGTTTAACATAAGGCTGCTTTTAACATTATTCCAGTTATATAGCGGCATGTCAGCTTAATGTGAGAGGAAAGTCTGAAGTGATGCAGGTCTTAAGACGTTTACCACTTCGGTGAAACCCACAAGCACGGGTATGGTGCTGACAAACCTAGAAACATAATCGGGGCGAATCGGGATTCGAACCCACAATCATAGGTTTCTGGCGCGTCCAAGGGTCGCAACTCTGCACAGCGATTGCGTCGTCTTAGACTCTTAGATTTGGAAAGAAAAATATTTGAGATGGCATGGATTTATTCATAACAGTAGATAGTACTTAGTCCATGAAAAGCCAGTGTTTGATGAGGTTCAACTCTGAATGTACGACAATACATAGACTATTCCACAAAATAGCTCTCATAACAAGTTTAAGCAACTTCTAGCAGGCAGGGGTTTGTAATAAGCATACTTTCAATCACAATCATGTTGTATCCTATCTGTATTTTCTTTGCTTATTTGTTGTTGTTTTATTGAAAGGGAGCAAGGGTAAAGCAAATCACTGTGCAGAAACCTATGATTGTAGGTTCGAATCCCGGTTCCCCAAATTATGTTTCTATGTTTGTCAGCACAATACCCATGCTTGTGGGTTTCGCCATGAGACCTGCCTCACTTTGGGCTTTCCTCCATCATAACGCAGACACCCCATGATATGACTGGAATACTGAAGACTAGTTAAACCCAACTCACTCACTTACTACAAACTGTACTGTATGTATGATCTGTGAAATAAGGTAAAATATTGGCCCTACTTGACACCAAAACAACCCAATTCACTTCAAAAGGCTTAGAATTGCTGATCCTGAGAAAGAACTAAGACTGTGTACACTGAATAAATGTATGTTTCATTACCATGAAAGCCATGATTATGGCAGGAATTCTGCATACTTCAATCAGTTTAAATGAAGAGCAGTTTGAAACAATTAAATATGAATCCAGAGACGTGGTCTCAATCACAACATGACTATCAAATTAAACGTATTTGAAAGATGATCAAAATCAATGACAGAATATTAAATATTGATGATTAAATCTCCATAATTAATGTCTCCACACATTTCATTAAAGGGGCACTGATCTAACGCAATTCCCCGGGACTGGTTGTTGCCTTTGTTATTGTTTTTCCCCAGTGAATACCCGGATGTATAGCAGAAATCTAGACTAGTTTGCGACCTCTGCTGCGCCATTCGTAAGCGCATTAGTCACTTTTATGGGTAGTAATAAGGGCGTATGGTCACATTGATCAACAAAATGAAATACAGTTTTCGAGATAATAAGGAAATGTAGGTATCTTTGTGAGTAGCATCGGTAATGGTGACGAAGTTTTGATAAGTCACTTGCTTGGTAATTTTGCGATTTTCGTTTACACTATTTTGACTTGCAACACAAAGTACATATTTCACCTGAGCATTGATTTTTTATAGTGTGTATTTTTTTTGCTGTCAAATGTGTAACAAATTTATTAAACGTCTAAATATTCATTTATTTTACAAAGTAACTGAAAAACATTTCCATCTGTATTATTATGATAACGAATTCCAAACATTTTGATGTTTAATGTCATCACCAAGAGACTGAAAATGTTACGTTGAGAAAAGTACATTTCTATGTTGTTTGGCTTCTAATCCTACATAATAATCTGTTGTGATGTTTGTAGGCCTTTTTGATCGTCTTAATCAATCTGGACAGATTTTTTAGTCAAAATGACTGAAATATTTACACATTTTATAAATTGCCTGAGAGAATCACATTTTACAAATTGACGGTAATATATACACGCTTACAAAGGAAAAGACCTGTGAAAACAACGTCTATCGCGCATTGAAGAATTTCCCAACCAAGACGTAGGGAAAACGTATCGGTTCAAATGAAGGAAAACAAAATGCAAATATCATAAATACAACCTACCAAATTTATGTGTATAAATTTTAGGCAGCGTCCTTGTTCGAGGAATGTATCCGTGAATATCCACACAAAGGAACAATATCCCAGACGTCTGCAGATGTACAAAGAAACTTAATCGATGTCACGTGTCTCAGTAACAATCAAATATTTTAAAAGATATATGTCGTTTCGGGATATTATAACCCGTGTTCGTTTCTCAACTGATCACTTGGATTATTTCAGGTGTTTTACATAGGTGTCAAGTCTCAATGGTCGGCTGAGAAAGCCCACGTGACAACTATTTTCATAGCGTCCACGGTTCCTAAAAATGCCGTTGAGTTAGATAACAATGAGCAATCAATCACATTATCGGTTAATCCTTTGAACAAAGTATGTTGTTTTTACATCGGCACTTCGCGCCATGATATGAGTGTATTCCCTTTGTTTTAGTAAAACTAGACATGTAAACACTCACTCTTGACATATCCACTGTGCAAGATAACGGTCATTAATCAATCAACCTATTTTCTGTTAATCCTTTGATGACTAGGAACGATCCGTTGATTTACAAAAAAAAAGTAAATCAACTGATCATTCATCTCTTGCTGGGCTGCTACGTGCATATTCCATAACACACATTTCACCTCACTTCAAACCTGGATTTAGATTGAATAATTACCCCAGACACAATAAATGCCAAATGGGAACCTTTTGTCAGGTAATATAAGTGGTGCTACCACTAATTGTACCTGTAATAAATTCATTAATTGAGCATCAAGTGAATGACGACAAATACACAAGTGTGGGGTTATACGAGAAAACGTGGATGACAACAAGGGAGTAGTAATCGTATTATCGACGCAAGCCGAAATCCGAAAATGCTTTCACTGCATGGATACTGTTTTTAGTATTAAACTATAACCATCTGGGGTATTTCCAAATGACGACATGCGATGAGCTCCCTTGTTCTTTTTGTCTGTTTGTTTAGGCTGAAGAAATGAATTAACATGCGCCCTTTGTCGAAATCTTTATAGATCACAGTTAACCAATCAGTGTTCAAAAATGCATAAACAAATATTGCCTCCAGCCTCCAAGTTTATTTAGCTGTCCTTGCAGACGGTACCCCAGTCTCTGGTCACGCTCAGTTGCGTTGCGTATCATCCGGGTACTCACGGGGGGGAAACAATAACAAAGGCAACAACCAGTCCTTTAGATCAGTGCCCCTTTAAGCTTGATGTCATTTCTGCTATCAACCCGAAGACGCAGTTTATCGAACCAGTCTGTTGTGTGTGTCCACTACCGATCCGCATCACTTCCCGTGGATAACAACAAAGGTTAATCAATCATTGATGGCGCCCATTAACTGGTTTCAACCGCAATTTGAAATAATCTTATCTGTCTGCAGACGCCGACATACAAATGTAAATAATACAATACTAAAATATACTTGTCTTGCCCCAACAAATTAAGCTACGTCTTACTCTTTTTCTGGCAAGATCTGAATAAAGACTGAGCTCGATTATTGACTGTTCTGAAATACATCACATGGCACCAACGTCCCAGGACCCCTGACCAACTTCACCGTGAACTGACTCACCTCCAAGACTCGTACATATGTAGGATCGGCCTTCTTCTTCCGAGCAAGATAAACCTTGCCCCCGTAAGGCAAATCTGAATTCCATTCTGGGTCTTGTTCTGGCTGATAGCGCTGTCGAAGTTCGGCTCCACCGATGCCCGCAGAGCTTGCGGTCGCCATCTTGAGTTCATGTGTTCACCTCTGTACGTGGCCGGCTGCTGGAGCTTGGTTGTTGCCATGACTACCACGGGCACCTTGCGACGTCAACAATCAGCATCCAACAACTATTAGTGGTGTACACGTGGTTAATGATATCGATTAAATGACATCATGTTGTTTGGGATCGTGTTTCTATACCCCACTAATTCTAAGTCAAGGTCCCTATTCAAGCCGCATCTGTTATTTGCATAGTTTTGCCATTTACCAACAAAAGCCAACATAAAATGAGCAGTGATATCTTTCTCACAACATACTGAGGCTGACAACCCCACCCCCCTTACAGTACGCGGGATTCGGGGGTCTCTTTAGAGGGTATTCGGGACTCATCAGTGTGGTACGTGACACGCAAATATAATCGTAATTGGTATGCAGATTCAACATTTTAAAAAATCTTTAATATATTTTATATTTTTGGATATTTTTTACTAATTTAACTTTAAATCGCACCTTTTTTATGAACTAGGACTGAGTACGGTTTTATGCCGCTTTTATCACTATTCCAGCAATATCACGGCGGGGGACACCAGAAATGGGCTTCACACATTGTACCCAAGTCGGGAACCGAACCCTGGTCAAGTCGTCTAAGGCGCCGCCATTCACTGTGCAGAGTTGCGTCTCTTCGGCACGCCAGAAACCTATGATTGTGGGTTCGAATCCCGGTTCGCCCCGATTATGTTTCTAGGTTTGTCAGCACCATACCCGTGCTCGTGGGTTTCACCGAAGTGGTAAACGTCTAAGACCTGCATCACTTCGGGCTTTCCTCCCACATTAAGCTGACACGACGTGATATAACTGGAATACTGTTAAAAGCGGCGTTAAATCCAACTCACTCACTCACTCACCTGTAAACCTTCTAATGTTTTGTCTACTTTAGAACGGGGGTTGGACTCTGGATAAGGGCGGATAAAACCATATACTGCATGTAGTAGATCTCCATCTGAAATGTGCCCGGGGAATGCGTGAATGGCTGCAATGGCTGGGAAATGGAAATATACATGAAATACTATTATTGGTCTGCAATGATCAGGATTTGTTTAATCATCTTTATGTTTAATTAGGATAGTTAGGTTATATAAAAACAAGTCATCAGAAGATGGTACATCCGCTGGTCCCATATGTCATATTTATTGTCAGAGCGCCAAAACACTTGCCATACTTATTTTATTTTATTTAATCTTAATTGTTTTATATTTCAGGTTGTCGGTTTCGTAAACCAGGGGAAATGTATTCCATGCTTGGGTATTATGTGCACCCCACCTTTTCACAACTGGAATATTGTTCAAAGCAGAGTTAAACCCAAATCACTCACTCACTCATTTCAGAATCCTGGATCCGCCTCTAATGCTGGTCATGGATTTGCCCGTTCATAACGCCTTCATTTTCCTGTGTGTTATCTTCATATTGTTTATGTGCATGTTAAGCTCCCATCATTGTATAATCCAAAGGTTATCATTTTTGAAGATAGTCTTGTCTCAGTTGTAAAGTTGTGTTTGTTTGTTGTTTACCGCCATGTTCACTCAACAATATTCCAGCTGTATGACGGCGGCCTGTGAATAGTCGTATAAGCCTATGTTAAAGCACGGGAATTACGATCAGCTTAGCACTAAAATCGCTTTGTGGCACGGGGCCCAGACAATCCTGTGATTGTTACACTCTTCCCCGAGAACTAACGTCTTATTTTATCTTTATTTGGTGATTGTTATTATTAGCACCGCCCCATGCCGTCGAGATAGGATGACGCGGATGACCAGCCGATCCACTCAGTCGGCTCGTACGACAAGACAAGGGTAAGGGGGCCTCGAATTCTCTTACCATGAAGCACCAGGGTGGTGGGAAATGTTCTTTTATGGCTAGGAAGTCAAACAGTGTAGAATTGATTTTTTTCATGAATATTTAAACTATTCGATGAAGATATATAAGGACAGCACAACCCCTCATCCGTGCCATCCACGTTGCTATCCGGTTTCCTTTTCCTACACTGGGGGTAAAGAAAGTTAGCGGATTTACACTATAAAATTTCAGTGAGTGAGTGGGTTGGGTTTAACGCCGCTTTTAACAGTATTCCAGTTATCTCAGAGCGTATCTGCTTATTGTGGGAGGAAAGCCCGAAGTGGTGCAGGTCTCAGGTGTTTACCACTTCGGTGAAACCCACGAGCACGGGTATGGTGCTGACAAGCCTAGAAACATAATCGGGATTCGAACCCACAATCATAGGTTTCTGCCGTGCCCAAGGGACGCAACTCTTCACAACGAATCGCGGCGCTTTAGACGACTGGGCCACCCGTGCCCCTGCATGATTTCAGTCTACTCCCGGGCTGATCAAGGAGGGAGGTGTTAACTGCCCCCAAGGGTATTACGTACACCCCCCGAACCCCACCCCACCCCACAGCACACCCACACATCCACACATCCACACCCCGACCCATTTATGTAAGCTCCCTGTTAATGGTCTGATGTATCCTAACAAACAAAACAATGTAGATTTTACAGTGTTGTATACTCGGAAACCGACACTAATGCACAAGTACGTAACGTGGTAGTTTTCATCCTAGATTATCCAGTGTATCATATCGCTGTTCTATTATGCTATATGTTAATAATTGAATGGATAATCGAGGAAGGATATGTTTCTGACAGTGTGCCGTACGTCATATTGAGAAACAGATTTATTAAGCGGGCACTTGTCTCAAGAAATATAATGAATTCAATAAAGGCTTATACACATCTATGGTTTGGGGGAAAGACACTATAGAGAATACCCTGCAATTATTTACGTTCAAATGTGTGTGAATTTTTAAAACTAATAATTCTTAATAAATTAAATTTAACTCCGAAGAATTTCCACGGACAAATTCCCACACTATTTTCTTAATTTCTTTATATATGTCATAATTCTGTCATTATGTAATTCCCTACGAATGGGTCCTTTGGGCGGAATCAAACTTATGAATAAAATACTTTATTAAATAAGTATTAATTTTTTTATTTCATTGACATTTGAACACGAGTTGTGACTCAATATGTGTAAATTCGATCGACAATGAATGTTCCATCATTTATTTTTAGTGGTTACACCGAGTGAATATATGCCTGGTGGTTATCTCCCTTTACCGGCATAGATGACGCTGAAGTGAAATACGCCGCGGAAACGTACATGCTCCAAATGTGAATGTTTGATAATTTGGGTCACTACCCAAACTAATTTTTGTTAATCTGTTACATCCATAGAAGCAAGATGGTAAGACTTTCATTAATCTGTTCTTCAATGTTATATGTTTGTGCCTATTTATTATTTCTAGGATGTATATCACGATAACTTGACTATTTTGTTTGTAAAGAGACATGGGATCTTTGTGATTTCATCGAACCCGCGACCCATTGTTTACATCTCGAAACATCAAAATATTTCATTTTCTGTGTTCCATGTTGTTTTGATTCATTTTCTAACAAGAAACTATATTGTTTGCGATTCCTAAAAATGAAAGTTAGTGTCGTTCTCGTTTAGATTGAGCTTGATGTTGTTACATGTTTATTTATTTACTTGTGTATCCTATTTTCGTGATGTAGCACTTAAGTTCTCACTTATGCAGACCTCACTTTTATTATCAAATGTGTGTAGTACAATTAAAACATTTAATCAGTGTTTACAATTATTTTTGTAAGTTGACAAGTGTTTATTGATAATGTGCTCTATATATTTCTTGACGGTTCATTTTGATCTATCATTGATATTTCGTGTGGTTTTTTAAATCAAAATGTTACGTTTCATGAACGTTTCAGGGATGTTTGACTCGTTTGCTTCAAACATTTTTCATGAATATCATATTGATTGGTTGCAATAGACTCATTACCAGTTCTTAAAAAACGTCTTGTACATGCTAGTATAAGCATATATTCAAAATTTAGGTGGACACAACATGCAATGTCAGTCCTCTTCTTTTGATGACCTTATACAGAAAGAAAGGAACACATAATATTGCTTTGTGGATACATACATACATGTGTGTGTTTGTGTGTGTGTATATATATATATATATATGTGTGTGTGTGTGTGTGTGTGTGTGTGTGTGTGTGTTTGCGCATCATTTAGAAGTTTAGTTCAAAAGCTTACCATGCTCAAGTGGCAACAGTTGGTAAAAGTTTTGAAACATTATGTCTGCATGTTATGTTAACTTGTTTCATTCAATTTTGAACAACTTGCCTATTTCAGGTTGCGAAAAGCAGCAAAATGCTTCAGCACATAAACTACCGTATGAGGTGCACCCTCCAAGATGGGCGCATCTTCATCGGTACGTTTAAGGCCTTCGACAAGCACATGAACCTGATTCTGGGAGATTGTGATGAGTTCCGAAAGGTGAAGCCAAAGAGTCAGAAGGCTGGAGAAAGGGAGGAGAAGAGAGTTCTGGGACTGGTACTTCTCCGAGGAGAACACCTTGTGTCCATGACAGTAGAAGGACCTCCACCAGCAGAGGTAAGAAATCTGGTTATGGTCATGTTCAGTGTGTCTGATTACTCTCTCTATACCTTGTGCCATAAGCCACTTGAGAGAACTTGGCTCAGCCAGGCAAACACCTCCCAATTTGAAAAACAAAATCACCTGCGAAACAGCTCGAAGGCAAATAAAACATTTTTTCAGAAATCTTGTTGGTATTGCTAGCATATTATTTCAAAATACATGATTTAAATTATGGCAAGGTTTTGGCACAAATGTATTTAAATGGCTGTTGATCATGTTGATGCAGACATGTGTCCAAATGACAATATTCAAACAGTTGAAATGTGCAATGGTCATGGATTATTTGCTGCTCTTGTTGGTGATTTTGTTTTCCCAATTGGGAGATGATTGTCTGGTTGGGCTGAATTCCCCCAAATATGGAGCCTACTGAAGTGCTGATGTATGACCTCTCATTACTGGAATCATAATAGCAAAGGCAGCAGTTGAACCTAACATGTTTAGTCAAATAGTCCTTATAATGATAGTATATAGCAAAACCCTTAAAATGGCGAATTTCAACTAGTCCTTGTAATACCTTAACTACTGGGCAGATTGGCAAAGAATACAGAACTAGTGTCAATTTCCAATATCATTATTTGATCATCTGGATTTTCATCCTCCTCCATCTCACTGCTTTTTTATATGAAAATATCTGATGAACGTCCAATATCACATCTATTCCTGTACCTTCAAAATGGCTTTTCTGAGAATAAAATTGTCATTAGTTTGAAATAGTGGGCTCTCGTCTTAATTAAATCTAAGCGTCAAAACTTAAAGACATGCCATTCTGTTCGTTCAGATATTGTAGCACCAAACCTTAATGTCTAGATCACACCTTAATTTCTGTATGCAGTAAGACCTTTACACAGAAAATGCTGTTAGTATCAGCTGTTTCTGTCAACATTTTTGTTTGAGAAAGTCACTTGTTACATCAAGCTTGTATATTTGATTGCTACAGGAAGGCATTGCTCGAGTGCCCCTGGCTGGTGCAGGTGGTCCTGGTATGGGACGTGCCGCAGGGCGTGGCGTGATGGGACCCAGTGGATCTGGAAGTGGTCCTGGTCTACAGGGCCCAGTGAGGGGTGTCGGTGGTCCCTCTCAACAAATGATGACACCGGGTGGTCGTGGAGCATCCTACTCAGCAGGACCTAGACCAGCTGGTCCCCGAGGACCCCCTCAAGGTACGACATTGTAATAGGGCTTAATTATGACCTAGATATACTGGTTGTTCGAGCATTGTCTGTTGATCTGATGGAGCTGCATGGATTTTGCAACCTAATAAATCCATCACACGAGAAGTGAAGATCGGATAGATATACTGACACAATAAAAGCTCATAGTCGATTTAAGACAAGGAAACAATTTTAGCAGTAAGCCTGTACTTGAGAATGCGTGTATGACAAAATAACATTGTGTTTGATTATCTCATGCCGGGGAACACATAACAACTTCATTTGATTTTTAGGGTTTTTTGCCAAATATTACAGAAAAAATAAACCAGTATTTTCAGTATATACATGAACCTGGTCAATTAGCTGTTTTAATATGTGACATGTTATTGTGATTTGAGACCTGATTGACCAGCAACATGGTCAGCTGACAGTTAAGGCGCCGCAATTGGCTGTACAGAGTTGTCCCTTGGGCACACCTATACCTATGATCGTATGTTTGAATCCAGGTTCGCCTCAATTATGTTTCTTATTTTATCAACACCCTACCCATGATTCTGGGTTTCACGAAAGTGGTAACCATCCAAGACCTGCAACACTTCAGGTTTTCCTCCCACATTAAGCTGACATGCCATGGTATAACTGGAATAGTGTTCAAAGCGTTAACCCCAACTCTCACTCACTCCACTAATGTGTGATCATTGTGAGGCACAGAAGCTAGACTTATGCTACACTTTTCCTTGGATAGAGACCAAATAGGTTTTTCTTTACATCATGAACTTTACACAAGTGAATAATTGTACGCAAGTTGAGAGCTAATGTGCCCTGGGCCCAGGAAACGTTTTCAGAATGTTTGTGGGGTGTTTGTAGTTGATCCATGAAGTTTATTTGAGAATTTGATCCTGCAGGCCCGATGATGGGAGGTCCCCCAATGAGAGGTCCCCCTGGCATGGGAGGACGAGGACCCCCAGGACCCGGTATGCGAGGACCCCCTCCTATGATGAGAGGTAAGAACAAGTTTAATCATCTTCAGAAATTATCCTTAAATTTTGTGTTTGACTAAGAAATGTTTTTATTAGGTTGACTACAACTTTCCATAAATCACCAGTGATTTTGTTTTGCAATTTAATGATTGTTGAAAATGTTACTACAAATATTAACAATTCTTGTGTTTTACTATTTTGCATGCTGTGTATTCTATGGGAATATGAATATACACATATCTCTTGTTGATATCTACTTAGAGTGTATTTGTTAACGATTTGTTCAAGTCTCAGATTTGTCTACCTGCTGGTCTGAACAAAGGTCCATTTAGGGATGACAATTTTCCGTTAATTTTGTTGTCATGGGTCACTTTTGTCATACCTGCCATTGCAATGTTTGCATAAACCCGTGGATATCTTTTTATTTTGATTAAAATCAAGAGAAATGATCCATGGTCGCTGTCCATTAATGATCATGTTTGTTGTTTAACGACACACTCAGCAATATTCCAGCCATATGATGGCTGTCTGTAAATAATCAAGCCTGGACCAGACAACCCAGTGATTGATATCATGAGCATCAATCTACGTACCTGGGATATGATGACGTGCATCAACCAAGTCAGTGAGTCTGACCACCCAATGCTGTTGGTTGCCTCTTATGGCAAGCATGGGTTACTGAAGACCTATTCTAACCAGGATCCTAACAGGTCTAAAGATCAAGGATGCTATTGCATGCAGCTCCCAATGCAAATGTTGGTGCACAAATAGTAAAGGACCTCCAGTTGAATATTTTCAGTACAGCCCTGCAGGTTGCATCTGGATAACCATACACTAAACTTACTTGTATTTGATATTTTAGTTCTTTTTTTTCAAGACTTTAACATGCAAATTACTCATTGTGGGCCACACGCACCTCAACACCCCATGCTGTTGTGTAGCAGTGTGTGATCTTACTTGGTGCCAGAATAAAACATTATCACTTTCCATGTGTGGTCTGTACTGCTCATGGCATTCAACATGTGACAAGGGAGAGAACTCCGACTGGTCTGTTTGGACTAACAAGTTCTGAGTCTTGTCATAGGCATTTTTTGCTATAGGCATCTTTTGCTATTATACAGGTTATAGTCATTTTCTTCATTTCTGTTGTTTTGTCATGTTTTATCAGGTCTATGCTCTCTAGTTAAATAAACCTTGAAGGGGTTCATTTCCATAGGAGGAATCATACTGCTCTGATGGAGTGTCGTTGCTCATGTTTTAGTCACTGGTTTGCTTGGTCCAGACTCGGAATATTTATTGGCCATTGTGACATAGTTGGAATATTATTGACGGTTGTGGTAAACAGTATCTACTTGACAAATACCTTGAAAGTGAAGAACGTTGGAACACGCTTTAAGAACCAAATGCTTCACCAAGTAATCTTGAGGATTCTCAGTTACATCTAATTATTGAGCTAATGGTGATACAGCATTCACAAAGTTTGATGATACCCCCCGTCTCGACCTGCATAAGTGCTGAAGAAACAGTAAGGCTTGATTATTTAACAATTCCATATTACCTAGACTGCAATATTAAAGACAAGCCGCATGTACTTATCCAAATGATATGTTGTCTGTGTGATACTCCCAGCATGCCTCAGTTGCACACTTAGAGGTATGAATGTGCTTGTTGGGCAGTTTACATAGTATGCATTTTAGAGTTTGTTTGTTTATTTGTTGTTTAACCCCGCACTCAGCTATATGATGGCAGTCTGTAAATAATTAAGCCTGGACGAGGCAATCCAGTGATTGACATCAGGAGCATCGATCCACGCAATTGGGATACGATGACATCCATCAACCAAGTCAGCGAGCCTGACCACCCGGTACCGTTAATTGCCTCTTCTTACGACAAGCATAGTCGCCTTTTACGACAAGTATGGGTTGCTGAAGACCTATTCTAGCCTGAATCTTCACGGGTCTTGTGCCTTTTAGAAATAGTCCAGGGTGCCATTGTATGAAACAGCTAAGCGCTACGACTGTCAGAAGTCTGTTAAGGTATGGGATCTACGATCACCTCAGCACTAAGATTGCTTTGTACAACAACACCCTGGATATTAGTGCTTCAGGAACGAGAGATGTTCTTAGAAAATTAAAAATAAGCGAAGCCTATCACTACAGTTATATCAGATTTGAACCCTTTAGCATGTTTAGTGACATATTGAGACAGTAATATGCACCTCAACACCCCATGCTGTTGTGTAGCAGTGTGTGATCTTACTTGGTGCCAGAATAAAACATTATCACTTTCCATGTGTGGTCTGTACTGCTCATGGCATTCAACATGTGACAAGATGGAGATGTTGGTTGGTCGTGAAGAAGTTTCTTTTCATGATGGCTATGTGATGGACTTTCTCAGCACCAGCGAAAACAATTGCACAGCAGTCTCTAAACTGCAGAAAGCAAGAACATCTGTTAATTAAGACACAAAAACTGTTCTTTTGGAGCCAGAATGAATGCTGGGGCTAGTTTTGTTTTCTGTTTATGCCGATGTCAGCAAAAATCCCTTCACATCATGAAGGGCATGTAAATCATCAAGTCTGAGCCAGGCAAACCAATCACTTTATTACAATGAGATGCAATCAACCAAGACTCTTAAATCTAAGCACCTGATCCATTGAGTCGCCTGTTACGACAAGCGATGGAGTGTTGGATCTGTTCTAACCTAGGTCACATGGGTACAGTGTGTCCCAATTCTGGTGTCACTCAGTAGTGTAGGTCGTACAGAGGCTCTGATCTTGTAATACTCATATTACTGTATCTACATGTCATGAGCAGTTCTGTTGCCATGGTTACCAGACCGATCAGATCCGGGGTAGAAAAGGTCTTCAGCAACCCGTGCTTGCCGTAAAAGGCCATTATACTTGTCGTTAGAGGCGACTAAAAGGATCGGGTTGTCAGGCTTGCTGACTTGGTTGATGCATGGCATCTTATCCCAATTGCATGGATCAATGCTCATGATGTCAATCAGTGTGTTGTCATGTCCAGACTCGATTATTTACAGACTGCCGTCATATTTCTGGAATAATGCTAAATGCAGTGTTAGAAATTGGCACTAGTCCTGTAGTCCTTACCAATCTGCCCAATAGTAAAGGTATCCTAAGGACTAGTAGAAATTGGCCCATTTTAAGGGTTTTTGCTATATGTTATCCTTATAAGGACTAGTGGACAAAAACTGTTAGTTTCTAACCCTGCTAAATACAGTGTTAAACAACAAACAAACAAACAAAGCAGTGACCGAAACCTATGCTCGGCCTGACCTGTTTAGCCCTGATCTCTTCAAACTCTTCGGCGTAAAACGCAACGAAACTTTGGCATCTGTTTTCCAACATCAAATTGATCCCAGACAGGATATATGGTTATAACACTCCATGCCCCTTGCCTCCTCTGAGACAAAACTATAACTTTATTTCGTCTTGAAAGTCCGCGGACGTAACCCTTGTTCAACAAAAAAACCAGGACATACACACCCGTTGCTAGTGCCAACCATCTGTGTGGTGTCATCACCTCCACGGAGACTTGCTGGCGGTTTCCGCTTGTGTGGCTTCATCTAATGTGACGGAGTTGTGTGTAAGAATACCTATAAGACTCTGGCATCCTAATGTGATTATCGCCTGTCTGTCTGTTTGTCGTAATTATATATACTCAGAAACTAAGGCAATAATCTGAAATGTATATGACTGCTGTCATTTAGCTGGAATTTTGCTGAGTGCGGCATTAAACAACAAACAAACCAGACACAAAGACGATAATGTTTGAGATATTATGAGCGCTTTTGGTAGTCCGTTTTGCTTACATTTGATTTCATTAAACATTCAATTTGCATAAAGTCATGCTGAAACTAAAAAAAATTTGGAGTCACAATCGGGACATTAAACTTTGTAATAGTATTGGGGGCGACATAATTGGACTGTGATTGCAAGTGCAAAGAAACAAAGTTCGGTTCAAAAACATCAAAGTTAAACCAGAGTCTACTTGTTTCATCTTTAGAACACTGTTATTACATGGGGCTAATTTCAAAAGGCACTTTTTGATTGAATTAATTTGTAATCAACCTCTTTGTAGTTAGTGAGTTAAAATTTAACATCACATCGGCATTATTTCAGCCATTTTGGGACACATGTAAAGATATTTGCATGGTGTTCTTGTTAATGACAAAAATTAAGTAAAATTTTATCACCATATTAAGGTCATTAATTTTTGCAATATTAGAAATTTGTGTTTTAATATGAAGTCGTATAAATCTTTTTCTTTTATCATTTGATATATACTGCTCAGAAGAATTTAAGGACAACCAAATTTGTACATACATGTATTACCATTGTAAATCTGTCATGGCATGACAGAATAACTGTAGTTATATGAAAGAAATGGGTGGTCCTTAACTTCTTTTGAGTAGTATATTACCCATGGAAGGACTGTTTTATGGTGCTTATTTTCCACAACTGTTTATGAAAAAGGTTCATCTGAATGTCATCATATCCCAATTGCGTGGATCAATGCTCATGATGTCAATCCAGAGTCCAGACTTGATTATTTACTGACCGCGTCATATAAGTGGAATATTGCTGAGTGCCGCGTTAAACAACAAACAAACAAAAGGTTGTGTAAGATTCTGTTTGCTTGGGACTTATTACTGGTAATAAGCAATGATATATTGATTTATTTACGTATTGCAAGGCAATTCATGCCCTGAAAGCTGTACATTACAATAGTTAGCTTTGATATGGTGCTGAACCTTTAATAGTACGAATCAATGTGATGAAATGAAAAAATAAGTTTTAAGCATTGATTATTTTATTTGTTTTCACCGTAAAAATATCGGGTTAGAATATGTCTTCAGCAACCCATGTTTGTCGTCAAAGGCGACTCTGCTTCCCGTAAGAGGCGACTAACAGGATTGGGTGATCAGGCTCGCTGAGTTGGTTGATGTGTGTCATCGATCCCAATTGTGTAGATCAATGCTCATGATGTCAGTCACTGTATTGTCTGGTCCAGGCTCGATTACTTGCAGGCCGCCGTCATATAGCTTGAATATTGCTGAGTGTGGCTTAATACAACAAATAAACAAACAAATCTATTTGTTTTTTCATCCCAATACACCATGCAGTCCCAATACCCTTGAGTCTTGACCCTGCAAGCTCCAAACCAGTCCCTAGGCATGATTTTGGAGATCTTGGCATTAATAGATGAACTTGTAATCGCAAAACTTACTTGACCAAACAGCATTTTACTAGACTTTGTCTAGAGACGAGTGGCTAAAGTCACACACAGTCCTTGTAGCAACAGGTAGGAACCAATCAGACGTTCAGGGGCATGGGAGGCCTAGTCGTCTAAGGCGCCTTGATTTGCTGTGCAGAGTTGCATCCCTGGGGCACACCAGAAACCTATGATTGTGGGTATGAATCCCGGTTCGCCCCGATTATGTTTCTAGGTTTGTCCCCTATACCCATGCTCGTGGGTTTCACCAAAGTGGTAAACGTCTGAGACCTGCATCACTTCGGGCTTTCCTCCCACATTAAGCTGACACGCTGTGATATAACTGGAATCCTGTTAAAAACGGCATTAAACACAACTCACTCACTCACTCACTCACTCACTCACACACTCACACACTCACACACTCACACTCACTCACTCACTCACTCACTCAGACTTTCTCACCCACCTAAAACTCCAGTTGCTATTTGTAGAGTGGTACTATATGGTACGTTTGTCCATGTGGGGAGTCTGGGTAAGGATTGGTCGTACGAGGTAACTTAATGGATGGGCAGCCAGGCTCTCAGCCTTGGTTGATTGCATGTCACTGTACCCAGACAGAGTGGGACATTGCTCATATCAATCTCTAGATTGCCTGTTCCAGAATCAATCATGTATAATTAAGGCGTTTAATATGCAGCCGGAATATTGTCGAGTGCGACAATAAATGGCTACTGATCAGAGTATCCTGACGTAGTAGAATATCGGATATGATATAAAGTCAAATGGTTGATTGGTATCAGTTTGTAGACATTCTTCTGTGCAAGCAATTATTGGAATTATTGAAATGTTGTGTATCCATACAGACAAAATCTGATCAGGTGATATCAAGTTAAAAATCACATTTAAATAATAACTTTAGATGCAGACATGAACCTTTTATGGTGTCAGTACTTGTGTCAGATTTAACAAGATCAGCCATAACATGGTAATCACAGGGATTTATCCAGGATTCTAAACCCCTGGCAGGCAAATTGGGGCACTAATAATTATTTTTTGGGGAAAAATGAAGTTCTTATTTTCTCAAATTCAGTTTGAGATTGCATTCAATGCAATAATATGAAACTAAATATCCAAACCTCTTCGGTGTTATTGGTGCTGTTATCAGTGAAATATTGTGCCAAATATCGGCCTCTGAGCAGGTCTAGATACAGAGTCCTGATACAAACTGTTTCCAATACATGGATAGGTAAAATATTGGTTTTGCTTGTCATGTAAGATTGTATTTCTTTCTGGGAAAAACTTATTACAATTGACATTTTATTCTTCATCGTACAGATAGCTTTAGGCCAATGGAGTTGTAATTCCATTGAAATTGTTTTTGTCCTATATTTGTAAGCCATTTAGCTGAAATTGTGAGATGAAAAGTTAATGTAATCGTGTCCCCCCATTACACCATCATTCCATAATAACATCTGCAGTAATTGATTTCCCCGAGTAACTCAGGTGCACAAGATTCCCAACTTCCTCCATATATGGCCAAAGAAAATTTGAGAAGTGTTTTTCTGATGTTTCATTTTGATACATAGCTGGCAGCATTTGTCTGTAACACAAAATAAGTTTTGAAATTTCGCTTCAAGTTTCTAGTTTGCTTAGCCTGGGGGAAGTAGAATTCTTGATTGAACCGGTTTGGGTAATGCAATCTTCAGTTCATGTGGAAACCAGATGCCTATCTTCTGATCTTTTGAAATTTTTTAGCTGTGATCTCTGTGCCTGGGGAAATAATCAGTGCTTCTTGAGAGCCCCGGGGCCTCTATGATTATGCTTTCATCAAATACGTATTGATTTTGACATTTTGGCTGGCCGCAGGCGGACTGCGAGCCAGTAATAACTCAGTTGTTCTTCCCCATTACTCAGTCACATGAAACTTAGCACTCGCCCCATGGCAAGAAAGTACATTAAGCGTGTGTCCTTGGGCAACGGCAGGTGTTTTGTCCGGATGCTGGTTGGGGAAAGGGGGTTGAGCTGATCGCGGGATTATTAGGTTGCAGGGCAGGCTTTGCCATCTAATTGTGGATGCGAGGCGGATTAGTCGGCTCCAATTTTGTACTTACATGGATAAAAAGGAACATGGAGGATGGGGGAAGGATTATCATCTGTCCTTTTCAAATTTTATCCTGAAGTTTTGTTCAAATTATGATTTCTGTATCTGATGCTGAAATGTTTCCTCAGGTGTGGTCATTTTGGGCAGAAGTACCTTGGTAAGATGGCCACCCACTTGCCAAATGGTCAATGTATCTAGGACAAAACTGAAATAGCTTTCAAAAACATCTTAAAGCAAACAGCCTTTGGCAGAGTGTATTTGTCGCGTCAATCAAAGTTGTTTAAGATCATCCTATTATGTGTGTGATCATAATTAGATTATTGGATATTAATGAGATCACCTCATTCATATTAAATTTGCCGCTCATTCAGGATTGGGCTATTGTGGTCTTCGAGGGCTGAGAAGAAGTTCTGCTTCACATTAAAAGTTCATGATTGCTTGAAATTGTGCTATGACCAGCACCACATTGAGCTTCCTTCCCATATCTCAGCATTATGATATAAATGAAATACTGCTAAGTGCTAAAACTCCAAAACTGTAGACATTGAAATTTGGTTTGTAAACTGTCAATCAGATTTCAGTCGATTGCAGGATTTGCAAAGCATGTGCACCGCCAACTCGGTACCAACAGATATTTTCCAAATCTTTTCATGTTTTTAATCAAATTGTTCCCTTGATTTAATGCACTTTGCGATGTAAGATCCCTTTTATCACAATATAGATCTTGATTATTGATCAGATTGTCTTGACTTGGCGCTGCCATTTTGAAGCAAATGCAAGTGATATGAGGGGTTGAATCTGACTGGTCCATAGGAGAGGTATAGAAGGGACAGAACTCATAATAGCCACCAGTGGCACTATGATCGAGCCCAGGAATTCCAGCCTGGTTCGGCAAGGGTGGAAACTTGACTTTTAAAGTCAGTTAACTCTTGCCTCGGGAAGATGCTTGGCTGGGAATTGTTCTGTATAGTCCCTGCCATCTAACAGCCTGTAACCGCGCACTGCCAGGGGCTAGTGTATTGTGCCTAGTATGTCCAGTATGTATTGATAAAATTAGTGTTAACAAATAGGTTTAAAATAGGTTGACATGATCAGGGACTATTTCTGTCTGTGCTCCTGACATGGAAGAGTGGGTCATTGTTGTTGTAGATGAAAGCGAGTGAATATTGTATACTATAAGTCACCATACTTGCCAACTGGACCATTGTCTGAAACTTTAGGCTTTAGGAACAATGAACCTGTGATCTAGTGCTTCAACTGTTGGAGTTCCTTCTCAAAGGCTTGGTGTGGAGACTTTGATACCAGACTCCTTTCACAAAGAATCTAGAATAGATCCAGATAGATCAGGTCCTCCCTCCCAAAACTTTATCAGGCGACTCAATGGATCAGGTGGTCAGGCTTGCTGACTTGGGTAGTACTGGTTATTGGACTTAAATGGACCAGGTGGTCAGGCTTGCTGACTTGGGTAGTACTGGTTATTGGACTTAAATGGATCAGATGGTCAGGCTTGATGACTTGGGTAGTACTGGTTATTGGACTTAAATGGATCAGGTGGTCAGGCTTGATGACTTGGGTAGTACTGGTTATTGGACTTAAATGGATCAGGTGGTCAGGCTTGCTGACTTGGGTAGTACTGGTTATTGGACTTAAATGGATCAGGTGGTCAGGCTTGCTGACTTGGGTAGTACTGGTTATTGGACTTAAATGGATCAGGTGGTCATGCAGTACTGGTTATTGGACTTAAATGGACCAGGTGGTCAGGCTTGCTGACTTGGGTAGTACTGGTTATTGGACTTAAATGGATCAGGTGGTCAGGCTTGCTGACTTGGGTAGGACTGGTTAATGGACTTAAATGGATCAGGTGGTCAGGCTTGCTGACTTGGGTAGTACTGGTTATTGGACTTAAATGGACCAGGTGGTCAGGCTTGCTGACTTGGGTAGTACTGGTTATTGGACTTAAATGGATCAGGTGGTCAGGCTTGCTGACTTGGGTAGTACTGGTTATTGGACTTAAATGGATCAGGTGGTCAGGCAGTACTGGTTATTGGACTTAAATGGATCAGGTGGTCAGGCAGTACTGGTTCTTGGACTTAAATGGACCAGGTGGTCAGGCTTGCTGACTTGGGTAGTACTGGTTATTGGACTTAAATGGATCAGGTGGTCAGGCTTGCTGACTTGGGTAGTACTGGTCATTGGACTTAAATGGATCAGGTGGTCAGGCTTGCTGACCTGGGTAGTACTGGTTATTGGACTTAAATGGATCAGGTGGTCAGGCTTGCTGACTTGGGTAGTACTGGTTATTGCCCTGCATGGTCAGGCTTCTCAGGTAGATCAATAAATTAAGAATCAATTGTAGCTGCTATTTTTATTTCCATACAAAAAAAATGCCTCTTGGTAACCAAACATGCTACGATCGAGTGTTCCAGCAAGTCAATGCTTCAATGCTGTTTCCTCGGTTTAAATTGACGTGCATAAGTTGCTTTGAATACCTGCAATATTGCTGATGTGGCATTAAGCAGTATTTGCCTACTCATAAGTCGTTCATCTGACCAACATAATAAATAACATTCAATGAAACTATCCAGGACAACAAGGATCAGTGTGGTGTGTAGTGAAGCACAACACAAGTTGTAGTTACCAATGCCTGTGGCAGAATTACACGTCTATCCCCAGCTAATCACTGCACCCACTCATAAGTGGTTTAACGCTTGCAATTTGCATATTAGTTATGTTATGAAATTTCCACTTTCAGCCAATTGGTAAATTATAGACCCATAGTCCTTACAAGTTAAAATAGAATCTCAAAATATCACGCTGATATATTAGTGATGACTGCTAATACTTTTAAAATGACAACACGCAATTTTGGCGATGAGGAATATTACTCACCACTCTTACAGTAATTGCAATATGCAATTACTGTAAAAAAATATCCACTTTGCTTGCGATAAAAATCAAGTTTTTATCACATGGTTACAATCCGGGTAAGAATCGACTGTCACCATGGCAGTGAACATGGCCAATAGCGCTTACAGCATCTGCGCATTATTTTCAAAATGAGGTTGGATAGTAGGCTGATTGTTTTTGTAAATTTCTGTAACTGAGAGATAGATCAACATGAAAGGGATGACATTAGTTTCAATTTTGTTGTGAAGAAAAAGCTATAGTCAGATTGTTTGTGAAATATGGCCCCCTTTTCTGAGCAATATTGGTCTCCTGGCTCTGAATTCCGAAAACAAGGCTCTTGTTCCCTGGAACTGGTTCCTTGATCCAAAAATCTTATCTACCAACCCCAAGCTCAGTGACAATATATTTGCAGATAGTATGTGTAACTACTTTTATCTATTGCAGGAATGCCACCAGGTATGCGACCTCCTCGCCAATGAGATCATCAATCAACCCAGTGAGATCATGTTCAGTGCGGTACAGACTGTCAGTGTGTGCATGGACACAGTGTGTGACTGAGAGGTGTTGTGTTCAAGAATGTGGAGTCCACACATCTCAACATGAAGGTCAAGACATTTTAATCATGTCATTTTAACTACCACGAATCAGAATATGAGGGTAATTGCTCCAGCATACAGTATTTCCAATGTTGCTGAATATGGCAGAAGCCCTTACGACACTCCGATCATACTCTGCATCTTCATCCTTGACACTCCAAGAGGAACCTTCATCCTTCATGGTATGGTATTGGTGGATCTCCACCTACAGGCAGGACTAGGGGTCCTCATGCCAACAATCATCGTCTTCTTGAGTTGTAAATCATTTTGCCTTTTGTCATAAATAAACAGATGTAAAATTCGTTTATTCTTGTGTTCGTTCATGTCCAAAGGAGAACATTTTTCATCAGAGGCAGAACCTGGATTTATGAAAAAGGTGGGGAGGGGTGCGCAGGCTAAGTTCCAGGCTAATTTGCATAATGCCTACAGCCTGTTTTTGCCATGTCAATTTGGACTTAGTTTTATTTTTGAATGTTGAAAGTGCCTACAAATTACCTCCTGTAAAGTACATTTTGTATTGAGCACTGAGATAAAACTAGCAAATCCAGACTAGTACTTTTCCAGTTGTTTTGTTATTTCGTATTTACATCTACGTAATGCTTTGTGTCGATTATTAAATCCAGCAAAACAGTTTGCTGGAATATTGCTGGGTGCGGCGTTAAACAACAAACAAACAAACATAAAAAAAACTCTTCAACTTAAAGCGTAACGAAACTTTGGCATCTGTTTTCCAACATCAAATTGATCCCAGACAAGATATATGGTTACATCACTCCATGCCCCTTGCCTCCCCTGAGACGAGACTATAACTTTATTTGGTCTTAAAAGTCCGCGGACGTAACCCTTGTTCAACAAAAAAACCAGGACATACACACCCGTTGCTAGTGCCAACCATCTGTGTGGTGTCATCACCTTCACGGAGACTTGCTGGCGGTTTCCGCTTGTGTGGCTTCATCTAATGTGACGGAGTTGCGTGTAAGAATACCTATAAGACTCTGGCATCCTAATGTGATTATCGCCTGTCTGTCTGTTTGTTGTAATTGTATATACTCAGAAGCTAATGCAATAATCTGAAATGTATGTCAGATTAGTCAAGAATATATCCGTACTTTTGGTTTTTCAACCAATTACTCGCCACGTATATTCATGAAACGAATGATGGGGACATTGCTAACTTTGGCTTTTCTAAAAATATAAAGGTATTTTTATTTTTATTATGGCATTGGGTCAATACGCGATATTCAAAATCGTGAGGGAAGAGGTGTGTGAGGTTTGTCTATTTTTCTATTAACATATATCATCTTATTTATTTATTTATTAGTTTTTATTTTAGGGGAGCCGTGCCAATTTACACTTGTCCATAGGATACACAAAGTAGGTGAGGTGAAATGGGGTTTAACGTCGCGTCCAAGATTATTGCACTTATATAGCGACGTGCATGCACGTGCGCGTGTGTGTGTGTGTGGCTGCTTGTACTAGCCCGGACTGATGCCGATTTATTGTGCTAGCTCACTGAGATACCATGCCGCAGTTTAACATGAATACCCCACTCAGACACAGTATACTGACTCCGAGCCGACCAGTCCTTGTTGCCGAGCGCCAGACAGGGTAACAACAAGTACCATCTTTTAACGTCTTTTGGCATGACGCGGTCGGGGATCGAAGCCCGGACCTTCCGCTATCCGGGCGGACGCTCTACCATTAGACCACGGAGGCGTTCGTACACAAAGTAAGCGATCTAGACCACCAGTTTTCGGACTTTTTTGTTGTAGCAGCCTCGGTGGCTGCACCAGTACCAGGATCTGTACTTTACTAAGAAAGAATTATCCCGATTTTAACATTTGTTACATATATATATGTTAACATACAAGAGCAAATTGTGTGAGTGATTTGGATTTAACAGTATTCCAGTTATATTACGGCGCGTCAGCTAAATGTGGGAGGAAAGCCCGAAGTGATGAAGGCCATTGACGTTTATGTCTTTGGTGAAACCATCGAACACGGGTATGGTGCTGACACATTTAGAAACATAATCGAATCGAACCTGGATTCGAACCATAGGTTTCTGGCATGCGCATGCTCTGCACAGCGAATTGTAGCACTTTAGACAACTGGGCTACCCGTACCCCCAGTGCAAAATGAATGCAAATAAAGAATCTGTGTTTTGTAGTCACTAATTGTAGTGTTGTAGTGTTGTGTGACATGTTTACACATAGCAAACAGGGTCACGTTTAAAACAAATTAATTATTGCTTCAAAAAGAGAGATGCCGAAAAAATGGGGTGTTTCTGATAGTCCGTAAACAATGTGATTTAAAGAAAAGTGGATATACTACAAGCTATACGGTAACAAGTGGGAGACCGCATATGGAGACATGGACTTTGTTCACATCAAACTGCTGTGTGGACATGTGTGATAGAAGTGATTGTGTGCTCATGTAACATCGCGACCACTCGTGTCGTTCCGGGACATACCGAAAGGCAACTCGTGATCATTTTATCAACTTGGTCCCGTCTTTGAGCCAATGGTCACAGCGAAAACATAGCCAACCTGTTATACCACATCCGTCTTTTCTTTGAAAGCTTTGCTGAATATAACGAAGCTGACATTTAAAACCACTTATTATTAAGTATGGAGAAACACTTGTGACTGTCACTAAATATACATTTAGGCACAAATTTTACTAATAAACAAAATATCAAGGAGGGATTATTTGACCACCTACGAGGGGTGTCTGAAACTACGAAGGATGCAGCCATTAACAGTTTGCATGTATTAAGTATAATACTTTCATGCTTTGGACAAATACACAACTAGGCAGCATATTCTCCTGGCATTAAAGATATTATGTGTTCTCTGTTGATAAAAATTGGAAAATGTGGCTACGACGCTGTCATCAAGTATCTTCAACTGCCACCACTAAGGGAAATGTTGAAAAAATACATATGATTTTGGTCGATCTCACCACACATAGCCAATACACCATGACTTGAGAACATTGTGAGGAATGACCTGGGCATGACATGGACGCCGTTATATAGCTCGAGTGTTGCTTATTGCGGCGTTTAAGAACAAGGTCGGATAAGGGCACTATTGTTCCTCAGGATCTGTAACATTTAAGAATTGAGGAAACCTTTAGAAAATGAAAGTTATCAGATGTGTTCATATGAATGAGAACTAAACGTTGTTAATTTCAACAGCTGTATGTTTGGACTTATGACAAGGTAAGGATAAAATATAACATATAAAACAGTGATAAAAAAGCTGATTTTAGAGGTTTTCGTGAAACGTTTTTTTTGTAATATGTGTACAGACGCACGTCTTTGACTAACCTGAGATATACATAAGAACATTACATTACATTGGGTCACGGACTTGCTCATACTTTATTATTCTAAATATTTCCCTTTATAGCTCACTTGAAAGTCCAGTTTCCGCCATTGCCGAACTACGCTGAAACACCGTCGCTCGATCGTAGCGCCACCAGTGGCTATTACGAGTTATGTCCCTTCTATGTTCCTCCTACTGACCAATCAGATTCCGCCTCTCACATCACTTGCATTTGCTTCAAACAAAAAGACGGCGCCCAGTCAAGACGACCTGGTCGATAATCAAGATCTATGTTGTAATAAAACGGGTTTTACCTCGCGAAGTGCATCAAACCCATTTGAGCACCTTGATTAAAACATGAAATTATTTGGAAAAAATATATCGACGCCCAGTTGACAGTACACATGTTTTGCAAATCCTGCAGTCAACCGAAATCTGCAGGTTGAAATCCACGTTGTTCGTTGTGCGATATTGATTGGACTAGGCAAAATATAGTCCAGACAAAATGTAACTCCGGCAGTCAGTCAACTCCCTTGCCCCGGGGAGCTGGGTGATCTTCTTCTTGTCTTGTTTGTCCGGCGTGCGTCGTAAGCATCGAATCCAATTTTCAATATAACTCATTATAGCCTTTTTTACAACTCGTTTTGGCCTTTACAATGAAATGTATCTGGTTACTTGTGGGATCCAACACATACGCAGGGTTTTGGGTGAGGTTTTTTGGTGTGTTATTTAAATTTTGTTATTGCTCGATAATTCTCTCAAACTGGACCGCCACCGTGGTCTAGTGGTAGAGCGTCCGTCCGGAAACCCTGGTTCGATCCCCGGACGCGTCATACCAAAAGACGTTAAAATATGGTACTGTCTAGCGCTCGGCATTAAGGGGCTAAAACAGTATACAGTGTCTGAGCGGGGTATTCATGTTTAACTGCAGCTTGGTATGTCAGTGAGCTGGCACTATATGACGGCAGCAGTCCGGACTAGTACAAGCAGCCACACACACCCAATTTCACCTCACCTAACCTCTCCAACTGCATATTTCCCTCTGTTGACTTCATCTAGCCAGATCAAGGAAATGAACCTTGGCATGTATGTTTCTTCTTATGTTTACGTCATGTTTCATACATTTTAGTGTTAATCCTCAGCTGTTATGCAGAACATAGTGGAATGTCAGTATTGACATCAACCTTTGTTCATTGGCTATCTTTTACCTTTTAAACGGCTTACTAATATCCACGTGAGCTACAGTACTGTGGCCCTTTTCACTTATTTTAGCCATATTTCTGTATTTGGCCATGTTAAAAGTCCAAAACTTGCAGGTGTAAGAAAGCAAAAGGATAGTTGTCATCCATTTCATCATATCTGATGACTTACATACCAATATTTCAAAGTTTCCGCTTTAAACTTGTTTGTTAGTCAAACAGTTAGGAACAGTTTTACTTTCTCTTGACAGACCCATCCCCAACCCCCACCCTGGTATGTTTTAGTCAAATTAGGGTGGGTCGAATGTAGATTATGGTTGGATTTAAAAGATTAACTTTACAATTTGACATTTCCAGTGGACCCTTATCCTACGCTCGTCCTTCGCTTTTCTCGCACTTGGACACCGTGATCACCACACACTCCATGACAACTCGGTCACACACAGAAACGGAAACGGAAAGCGGGAAAAGAAAATTATGGGGAAAACATGGTTGAAAATGGCTATAAATTTTTACAGATCGAGTTGGAGGCTAAGTGATCTGAATATGGCTTCATATTCAATTTAAAATTCAGCGTGAAAAACTCCGACGAATAATGTACGAATGTGGTGAGTGCTTTATTTCAGTTTTCTCACGCCGTGTCAGCTTAATGTGGGAGGAAAGTGATACTGGCTGTCCCTTAACAAGCTCCTTGTCTTTGCTACGCATACCGAGCGTGCGTAACAAGGGCATGGAACCAGTCTGTAGCTGCCCCTAACTAACGTGATCACGTGACACAGTGAATTAATTCAAGCTGTTTGTGTATACATACAATCAATGTAAGATATCTCCTAGTGAAAAAATTCAGCGTGAAAAATTGAATAAAAATCGTGATATTTCCTAAACTCCGACGAATAATGTACGAATGTGGTGAGTGCTTTATTTCAGTTTTCTCACGCCGTGTCAGCTTAATGTGGGAGGAAAGTGATGCAGGTCAGATGTATTGTATATGGATGTAATCACCTTATGGATCGATGGAGTAGTGGGCGTGTCTGCTCAGTGTGAAGCCGTAGGTATAAAATTGAAAACAAAAGCAGGAAGATTTGTAAAGACATTTAATCAGTCAATGGATTTCATAAGATCGTAACATTGTACATGACTAAAACAGACCACACATTATGAATCTAGAGACGGAATTATCAACTCTCGGAGATCATACATCGTGATCTGTTCCCTGTACCAGCACATCCCCTAGATTAATGAGTGTATCATATCTCCAGTCTGTTAAGGTAAGTACACAATTTAATGGCGATATCATACACTGGGTAATCGAGGGTGGTACACACAATATGTACAACCTTCCTGCGCTAAACACCGAAAATATATAGTTGTAAATGCAAAAAGTATCTGATAACTAACTAACTTTCATATTATGCTCGAGATATTGATGAGTGAGTAGATTTTTCCGCCGCTTTTGACAATATTCCAGAAATATTACAGGGGAGGTCATGTTTGATGTTTAATGCAGTACTCCGCAATATTTCAGATATATGAGGCCAGCATGTCAATAATCGAGTCTGAACTAGATAAACCAGTGACTGATATTATGAGCATCGATCCACGCCGATAGGGTATGATGAAATGCTATCAATCAAGTCACACGCCTGGAAACCAGATCCATTACGTCACCTCGTTCGACAATCATAGGTTGCAGTGATGTACCCGTATGGTGAATCGAAATCGAACTCTGGTCTCAACGCGGAGAAAGAACTCTTCAACCACTTGGCTAGCCCAACGTCCCTTGCGATGTTGCCGCGTGAGACAGGTAGTCTGAAGGGGTGCACGGGTGGCCCAGTCGTCTGAGGTGTTGCAATTCGCTGTGCAGAGTTGCGTCCCTTATACGTATCAAACACCAATGATCACCGGTTCTTGTGTCAGCGCCATACCCGTGGGTTTCGTCAAAGTGGTAAACGTCTTAAAATCTGTACAACTTAGGATGTTCCATCCACACCAAGCTGACAGGCCGTGATATAACTGAAATACTACTGAAAGCGGCGTTAAATAACATTCACTCACCCACTCTGATGGACGTTAAAATTCCAACCCTATTTTACCCAGGAGAACCTGTATGCCTAATAGGTACCATGCATCGATATTCTTACTTTTGACTGGCTTGCTCTGGCATATTTCTATATGCTTGTACTTGATACTAGACTTAAATAAGTACTTTTAAATCTGCTTCTTTCGTGTACAAGTACATTAACGTGTATGGTTTGAGGGGTGGCCGAATATACACATATACGTTCTTAAGCGTACTCATATTGAATATTAATTAATATTAGTTTGATAAGTAGTCGTCCTGTTCCTCACTGAATGCGAAAGACGCAAAATGGTACACATCCCCCCGCACTTACAAGATTTCAATATAACAGGCACCCGAATAAATAGACATAATTACACAAGTAGCATAAATATATATACATAGGCTTCCTACCAAGAACAGTTCAACAAACAGCAGTTAATGATGATTTTAGGTGTGAATAAATGCAATTATTGTCAAGTCTCAGAATCACAAATACCACTATAAGTGCGCGGACGACATTGATACTGGCTGTCCCTTAACAAGCTCCTTGTCTTTGCTACGCATACCGAGCGTGCGTAACAAGGGCATGGAACCAGTCTGTAGCTGCCCCTAACTAACGTGATCACGTGACACAGTGAATTAATTCAAGCTGTTTGTGTATACATATAATCAATGTAAGATATCTCCTAGTGTTACCACTCAACATCGTTACTCAAAGGTATAAATACCGCTAATCACATGGTTGAAACATTTAGCACTGTCATAGGTACAGTTGAAAGGTAAGCATGTTGCTCAGTGAACGCCAACAAGTCAGGTCCATTGAAATATCATATCACAGAACTATATACTTGCACGTCATTTACACAAAGCTGACCGCGTGGTCCATACATTAAGTTTCGTAGTTTACTGCAAAGACACTCAGCTCGCGTCAATCACATACGACGCCTCGGTCAGCACTGGGAGAGTCCATATTGGAAGTAGTTCCAGTCACACGACACAACACAACGTGACCGTGGTCCTGGTGTCTATATTTATTGTGTTTTGCTGATGACTCGTTCAAAAATTAAAATGTATACTTTTTTGTTTGTCAAGCATACCGCCGTTTTTCAATCCGGCGTCATGCCATACGAACTTTGCGCGGAAGGATCTGGCGGTACACGGAGTGCAGTGAAATCATGTTGTGTCACTTCTCCAGTGCTGCCGGAGGAATTAGGGAACGGAATAAGCCGAGTGTACCCGAATGTCTCCTGACCCTGACATAATCCAATGAGGTTACAGCCGCAGATGCGTATCTGATCTAGGAGTGACTCCGCATGATTTCCATCATGGTGGCGCGGTTGTGAAACATTGCAATCAGATGCCAATTGTTCGTTGGCATCAGACGACGCAGACAGCTAACGTCGATAACGACACTGTTCGTTGTTCAATGTGCTAAATTTGATGTCCACCTTCACGGAAGCGGATGGAAATCTTGTAGCTTTATTTGGTAACCGGTAGCCCTCATCCACAGGATTAATGTGGAATTTCTTGTTATAATGCAACTGGTCATTTAATAGTTCTGCCCCTCTCCATAACATGGTGTCTCAATGTAGAGACTTGCAGTTCCTGCAGAACAGGTACTCGCTGAATTGCTGACCTTCCACGCCGCCCCCTGTCGAGGCTATTACTTGGAAATTGTGGTTTAAAAGCCTCTGTATAACCTGAATAGAATTGAGCTTACAAAATCCATTGAGGGGAAAACGAATCACAAAATGGTTCTCCATATTCCAACCAGAATTCCGTGTATCCATAAGCGCTGACGTAAGTTCCGGGAAGACCTCTTCCAAAAGCGCCCTCTCGGCACTTAACGAGATTCTCTCCCCTAGGTCAGGGCTGATACTCACTGCAATGCAGTCACAGAACTCCGACGAACTGGGCTCCGACTTGATCTCTCGGACTGTTTGCATGATTGTCTGGTCCGTCGTCTGTGCGGGCTGTGTCACTGGACGTTGTTTGCTGCGTCGCATGGCTTCGATATCCCGAACCATGCCTTGGAGCTCGAAGAATCGGGATTCTTCAAGAAGTTGCTCCCACTCTGCGAAATCTTCTGGAAGACAACAACGTTGACATCGCATGTAGTTGAGGATGTAGCGGAACATTTTGCCGTCACGGTCGATGAAGTAGTGCTGCTTCAGGCTGTCCAGTACGATGGGGATGCTTCCGTTGAACATCTTCGCTAGTCGAGAGTCGGGAAACCTGGGAACATCAGAAACACAACATACTGTGAGAAATATGAAAATTTTGACCTTTGTTTTTTCCAATTCCAATCGGGTTATGGCTGGAAAAAGAATACGGGTTGTCGGAACTGTAACTGTTAAATTTATAGAACCACTGGACCTATCGAACCATCCGTTAAGTCTAAGAATCTAACATTATCTTCATCTCCATGTTTGAGCATCCTAAACGACATCGGGTTTCCGGAAAAAAACGAAGTCGATTTTTCGTTGTTTTCGAATTCGTGTTTTGGGAAAATTCAACTTTATTACGAACAACTTTTGCATTTTTTCCCGAAGTAAAACTAAAACACAGCTGATGAAGTGGTCAATGTCGACAGTCGTCCAATACAACTGGCCCCTTGAAAATACCTCACATAATTTCATGGTAAAAAAAAAATCTATGATGGCCAGCAGGCTTGTTTGAGTATCGAGTTATGGGCGTCTCTGACCGCGGCCTATCGACCCTTCCAGACGCGCTAATGCCTCCCGGAAGCCTTGCACGTTCTTGCCTTATGTAGGCAGTAAAATATATCTTCTGTCATCGTCATCGATCCCGCCTCGGCGACGGAGGTGGTCGGAAAAGGGGACATATGTTTTCTGTGTATCTCAGGTAATGGCTAGGATAGCCCAGGGGGTGGGGAGTTGTGTGTGGGCCTGGGGGGGGGGGGGGGCGGGGGGGGGGGGCGGGGGAGGGGGAGAGAGAAGAGGAGAGAGTGGGGGAGAATGGTGTAGAGTGCATGATTGTTAAAGGCGGGTTCGTCGATGCTTAAAGGGCAGGCCCAGCCTTTCAAATAACGTTCGTCAAATTCTACTTCTTTGGTTATTTAGTTAATCTTTTAAGTGAATTGGGTTTAACGCCGCTTTGAACAGTAGTTGCAACACGGCGTGTTAGCTTATGAAGGTCCTGGACGTTTACCAATTTTGTTAAACCCACGAGCACGGGTATGGTGCAGACAAAACTAGAAACATTATCAGGGCGAATCAGGAACTCGAACCAACGATCGTGCCTAAATTGGACGCACAGGGAATTGCGGCGTCTTAGACGACTAGGCCATCAGTGAAAGCTGACGACAGACTGGATGAAATATTATGTGAAAGAAGTTAGAACCATACAGCACGGGATTGCGTACTTGAAGGGACAAATGATAGTGACCACGGAATGGCGTCAAGTTGTTATTTCGGTCATCGATCCATTTAAAAGTAGTCACATAAAAGACCGTGGACGATACCCAGAATACCTGTCGCCTTTGGTGTTCGCGATCCCAGTTCTACTCCCGAATCAGCACTGGTGTCCCGCCAGAACAGAAATAACACCAAACAACCAGATATTCCTCTGTTTACGTTGGCAAATGAAGCCGTGGTTAGTACATTTGACGGAGTTTTTTCTCCTATTGTAGGTCTCAATTAGGACATTACCGCCCGAGGGGTCATGACACAATAGATATTCAATGTGGTACGCCTCAGCTGGCTTGTACCCGCGGGCACACATATGCCCCTTCAGAGAACTAATTACTACCAACACCTTCCAAATACAACATAATGCCCCGGGCATAATCTATACAAATACAAGTAAATACACGAAATGCAATTTCAAGAAATATCTCTGTCAGCTGTTGTATCCACAAAATGAATAAACATTTTACTCAGGCGAGATTTACTTTCTGTATGTACAGTGTTATTTATGGTTTAACGTGCAGTAGCTTAAGTCGGAGCGATTCTAGAGGCTGGACCTCGTCTGCTTACAAAGACAGCCCCTGTCAGCCAGGATTCATCTGATGTCAAGGCATCAACAAACAATAAACAATACTAATTCCATTCCATTCAACAATTAAGTGAATGCTCATGGCACTACATAAGTATCACCTGTCAATGGATCGGTGCACACTCGACTTTCATTATCAGCTCCCTGGGGAGAATACACTGAGGCGAATGAGAACTTCTGCAAGACAGTAAGGGGGCTCGGAAAGCTCTTGACTGTGCAGAGTTGTGCCCCTTAGCCATGCTCAGATTTGTTTTCAGGGTTCAAGGTGAGGGAATAAGGTGAAGTGGGGTGTAACGTCACGTTGGAGATCGTTGCACTTACAGAAAGACGTGCTTTCGTGCGTACGTGCGTACGTCTTCTGGTATGACGCGGCCGGGGATCGAACCAATGACCTTCCGCTTTTCCATGAGTTGGTAAGGATACACGCCGCGTTTAGCAATATCACGGCGGGGGAAACCAGAAATGGGCTTCACACATTGTACCCATGTGGGGAATCGAACCCGGTTCTACAGCGTGACGAGAGAACGCTTTAACACTAGGCTACCCCACCGTCCCCTAAATAAAAATGGCAACAAAAACGCCTACGACCAACATACGATTGGCTTCCTATAACAACAACCCGACACGCCGTGATATAACTGAACACCCACTCACTCACAAGAACACCTCCCCAACGCGTAATTCAGCCAATGACCTTCACCTTCGTTCAATGACACGTTCAATGAAGATTAATACAACAACCAACCCAACTGATATCGCAATCGCCCCTCTGATACACAGTCGAGGAAGAAAACATTAACCTGACATGTGAAAAGACTACCAAACACATTCACATGAGACGTAATAGGATCTAAACCACACAGACACCACGTCAACGTCAATTACTGTTGGTACAACCATTATCTTCGTAACCAAACCGTGAAGATCGACTAAATATATTTGGCACAAATCGTATATGAGCGTCGTAGCTCTTGAACAAGATGGCTGGCCTCACCAGCTTATAATGTGTATACTGAAAGCGGATTAACAACCTCAGGGCATTTGTACCTCCATTTGTGAATTCGCCCGGAGGCCATTGTAAATACCGGCTAGAAGCTTGTATTTCATCCGGACTGGGCTCATTATAATTGTTCCTTTGCTTCGTCTTAAAAAAGCGAGGGCCCGAAGAATACTGTTCGGTGGGGGACCGTCTAGCAAGAGGTATATTTGCCCTCGGGCATATCCAGACTTCATTACAATTCTGTCTGTTTTTTGTGCATGAAATCATCTTTGTGCAAAACCATTCTTATTTAATTATCCACGTTCCCGGGCCATGTCTGGAGGGCTTGGATCAAAGGCTGTAGCGATCTCGCCATGACAACAGAACAATATGTGTAACTCTACCGCATCGGCAACGGGTATTTTCTAGCTTATGCTGTATATTAAATCGGTTATGACTGCTTTTAGGAAAATAACACGCAAAGCCCTCGCAAATTGCCTGCTGCCAGAACGCCTAGCAGATTTGTGTGAATTGATGTGTCCGCGCCCGATTCCCCCCGGCTTTTCCGTGTTCAGCGCGAGCAACCATAGCAACGACTTCTTTTGCTTCTCATACACAAACAACATTAAACATGTAGCATTATCTTATAGACAGAAATCACTCTTTAAGTTTGACAGCCTTGCCTCTATCGACAACATTCACTATCCTGGATTTGATATAAAAAAAAACGTATTAGCCCGAGGCTTCCCCCCGCATCTCCTTGTCCAAGGACAACGAGAGAGAGTCAATAGAATTCAATATCGTCCTGCTTAAAATACAACATGTCACAACCAGAGGAGCACACTCGCCGATGCTTTCCAGCTTCTCTTCCAGTTCTGTTTGCAATTGAGAAGAAGGGGAGTAGACGGTACCCCTTGTTGACCCTCATTGCCGTGCCAAAACACCCTGAGGGGTAATATTTGGGCGACTTCCCCTCTATGGCTAGCGCAACTTTCTGCGAGGCATGAAGTAAAAGGATAGGGGTAGGAGCAAAGAAGCTGTAATTATTTGTCGAGGATTGCCCACGGCTACATCCTCAGCCCTGTCGACTACCAGGGATGAAATTGCACTCTCAAATCAACGCAAGTGCAACAACTACAATATACCGCTCAGATCAGTCGTTTGCGCGTTTCAACTGCTGTTTGCAGGATTACATTTTAACTCTTTAATCAATCCAAATGAAAACCCCTCCAATCAGTAATCGCCAGAAAACGACATCGTTTGATCTCTGGAAGCTTCACTGATGAAACGTGCTGAGTACCACGATTGAATTGGCAAGTTTTTCAACATATTTCTGTCACATACTTGCAGTTACGCTAAGACCAGGTAGTTCTGACAATTAAGAAGCACCAACATTTGTCTCTCGGAGAATCATCCACTTCAGCAGACGACTTGACCAGATTCGGACACCGAGCCCCGAGGCGCTCCGGAGCAGGCACGATCTTCCGTCAGACTCTCTATAAATCACCAACGATCAATGACTTCAGTTTTTAGTTTGCCCTCTGTCTAAAAACAGTGTGAGAAAGTGGCCACCACAGAAAGCAAGTGGCGGCAAAAACTCGGTATTGATCGTCTGCTCGCCGCGGACTCAGATGGTCTGACGACGGCAACAAATGACAATTGGTTCTACTTAGGGCAAGAGAGTCACTTAGCTGACAAAGACCTGCGAGGGCACACCCTAGGGTCGGGGATCGGGAAGGGGGAGAGGGGAGGAGGCAGGTGGGGGACAACAGAATTTAATGTCCCTCGGGCTGCTAGACGCGCCTGGAATGGGTACATGGAGAGAAATTGTATACAGCCTGTTCCTGGTGTAACTCGTTAGTACCAAGCTTTGTCGTCACATCGGTCGAATGGTCACATTCTTTGGTATTGCTTTATTTTATAACTTTCGGCAATCTCCAATAGTTATCAGTAGTACGTACTGATTGTTCATTCACCCACATGGCAGAATTACTTGTTGTCCATTCTTCTACACACATACCCACCTACCAGTGTTTCACCCACATACCAGCATACCATGCTCCCACCTACATACCAGCTTACCATTCTCCCACCTCACACTAGGTTAACATTCTCCCTCCTACCGACCAGCTTACCATTCTCCCATCTCACACCAGCTTACCATTTTCCCACCTACCGACCAGCTTATCATTCTCACACCACACACCAGCTTACCATTCTCCCACCTACACACCAGTTTACCACTCTCCCATCTACACACCAGCTTACAAGCCTTCCTTCTACACACCAGCTTACCAGCCTTCCTTCTACACACCAGCTTATCATTCTCCAACCTACCGACCAGCTTATCATTCTCCCACCTATACACCAGCTTACCATTCTCGAACCTCACATCAGCTTACCATTCTCCCACCTACCGACCAGCTTATCATTCTCATACCACACACCCGCTTACCTTTCTCCCACCTACACACCAATTTACCACTCTCCCACCTACACACCAGCTTATCATTCTCCAACCTACCGACCAGCTTATCATTCTCCCACCTATACACCAGCTTACCATTCTCCCACCTCACATCAGCTTACCATTCTCCCACCTACACATCGGCTTACAGTTCTCCCACCTACACACCAGCTTACCATTCTCCCACCTACACACCAGTTTACCACTCTCCCATCTACACACCAGCTTACCATTCTCCCACCTTACATCAGCTTACCATTCTCCCACCTACACACCAGCTTATCATTCTCCCACCTACACACCAGCTTACCATCCTCCCACCTACACACCAGTTTACCACTCTCCAATCTACACACCAGCTTACCATTCTCCCACCTACACACCAGCTTGTCATTCTCCCACCTTACATCAGCTTACCATTCTCCCACCTACACACCAGCTTATCATTCTCCCACCTACACACCAGCTTACCATTCTCCCACCTACACACCAGTTTACCACTCTCCCACCTACACACCAGCTTACCATGCTCCCACCTCACATCAGCTTACCATTCTACACATACACACCAGCTTACCATTCTCCCACCCACACACCAGCTTATCATTCTCCCACCTACACACCAGCTTACCATGCTCCCACCTCACATCAGCTTACCGTTCTCCCACCTACACACCAGCTTATCATTCTCCCACCTACACATCAGCTTACCATTCTCCCAACTACACATCAGCTTATCATTCTCCCACCTACACATCAGCTTATCATTCTCCCAACTACACACCAGCTTATCATTCTCCCACCTACACATCAGCTTACCATTCTCCCACCTACACACCAGCTTACCATTCTCCCACCTACACATCAGCTTACTTTGCTCCCACCTCACATCAGCTGATCACTCTCCCACCTACACACCAGTTAACCACTCTCCCACCTACACACCAGCTTACTATGCTCCCACCTCACATCAGCTTATCATTCTCCCACCTACACATCAGCTTATCATTCTCCCAACTACACACCAGCTTATCATTCTCCCACCTTACATCAGCTTACCATTCTCCCACCTCACATCAGCTGATCACTCTCCCACCTACACACCAGTTTACCACTCTCCCACCTACACACCAGCTTACTATGCTCCCGCCTCACATCAGCTTACCATTCTCCCACCTACACACCAGCTTACCATTCTCCCACCTACACATCAGCTTACTTTGCTCCCACCTCACATCAGCTGATCACTCTCCCACCTACACACCAGCTTACTATGCTCCCGCCTCACATCAGCTTACCATTCTCCCACCTACACACATCTTACCATTCTCCAACCTACACACCAGCTTATCATTCTCCCACCTACACACCAGCTTACCATTCTCCCACCTACACACCAGCTTACCATTCTCCCTACTCACATCAGCTTACCATTCTCCCACCTACACACCAGTTTACCACTCTCCCACCTACACACCAGCTTACCATGCTCCCACCTCACATCAGCTTACCATTCTACAAATACACACTAGCTTACCATTCTACACATACGCACCAGCTTACCATTCTCCCACCTAAACACCAGCTTATCATTCTCCCACAAACACACCAGCTTACCCTTCTCCCACCTTCACACCAGCTTACCATGCTCCCACCTACACACCAGCTTACCATTCTCCCACCTCACATCAGCTTACCATTCTCCCACCACACATCAGCTTACCATGCTCCCATCTACACAACAGCTTACCATTCTCCCACCTACACACCAGCTTATCATTCTCCCACCTACCGACCAGCTTATCATTCTCCCACCACACATCAGCTTACCATGCTCCCTCCTATACACCAGCTTACCATTCTCCCACCTACATACCAGCATACCATTCACCCACACACCAGCCTATCATTCACACATCCATATGCTTGCTTTTAACCCTTCTGATTTGTCAAAAAGGCCAATGGAAGAATCCCGTGGTCGAATAAACATTCAACGTTGCACGCGAAACACGACGCGCTCCCAGAAAGGAACGAGACAAGTTTCTTTACTGGTCACATATAATCCCAACGAAGCCCTATTTCAGATACAGGTTTTTATCTCCTATTTCAAATGACCTACTTTCTGAGAGTAGAGAACCAGGGCCTCCCGAATGGCGAGGCCCCAGAATAGACTCTGATGGCACAATCTCCATTGTCCCTCCACTAAATATGGCCACGCATCTGCGTCACTGTCAATATACGGACAAAGTACCCCGAAACTGTACACCATGCCTTCCCCTTGACGGATAAGCAGACGATATCCGTATAATTATCACTTATTTCTGTCCTGGCCGATGTACATATTAGTAAGCTGTGTTTATCTACGTCCTCTGCTTCTGTCAACGACACATGCGGTTTCAAAATATCCACCAATTCAATGATTGTTCACGCGGTTTAAAATACCCCAGGCTGATAACGGTGAAGTTCCTGCCCAGCCCCTGGCGATACCCAACTCGAAGCACGGGCCATCTAAAAATACAAACTTGATTGAAACCTTTGGAACCGTTCCAGTACTTGTTCATGAGGTTAAAAAGTCGCTTTGATGACATTCTCTGAAGGATGGTATGGCTCAGTGCTACTAATAGTGTTCTGTTCATGAAATGAGTGAGTGGATATTGTTTAACGGCTGTCAGCAATTGTTAACACAGTAATCAAAAATTGGCCAGACAAACTTGTGGCTGATATTATAATAAAGCCACGTCAATTGACGTTGTGGTTCGATGACACAAAGTCACCAAGCCTGACCACCTCACATAACTGAGTGTGTGTGTGTGTGTGTGTGTGTGTGTGTGTGTGTGTGTGTGTGTGTGTGTGTGTGTGTGTGTGTGTGTGTGTGTGTGTGTGTGTGTGTGTGTGTGTGTGTGTACTAGTCCGGAGCGACAGGCAGGGTAACAACAAGTACCATCTTTTAACGTCTTTTGTTATGACGCGAACCCGGGCGGATGCTCTACCACTAGCCCATGTAGGCGGTCTATGGGAGGTACGATCATCTTAGCGCTAAGATCACTTTGTGTCAGTGGACACAGGTGTGGAAAGCGGTCACATAAGATACTGCGCCCCGCTCCCACCTATCGTGTCGCAATTCATTGAAAAACATCAGTACAATCAGGAATTATACGCTGATAGGTCTGAGTATGAGGTTGACTTTGCAACCGCTACTTGAACCCATTCGATACGTGCTATGTGTCTTCACTGTGCGATGTTTTCCGCGGTACTATTTTTTGTCATGCCCAAGAATCCATGACGTGGACATATTTCTTAAATTTAAGGGGGCACGGGTGGCCAAGTCGTCTAATTCGTTATGCAGAGTTGCGTCCCTTGGGTCAGCCAGAAACCCGTGACCGTTGGTTTTAATCCCAGATTCCTCACGACTGTGTTCCTTAGTTTGTCAGCACCATACCTGTGCTCGTGGGTTTCCCTGAAGTGGTAAACATCTGAGACATGCATTACTTCGGGCTTTCCTCCTACACCAAGCCTGCACGCCGTGATATAACTAAAATACTGTTCAAAGCGGTTAAACCAAACTAACTATTGGATTAAAAAGCCCCCATCCATTGTCTTTCTGCCTTGTGACACTCACCTCGTGAGAGTTTCGAGAGAGGACGTATATATGACACCACCCACGTCAATATGGACCGGGGCTGTATATCTTGTAGGGGTCGCTGGACAGGGAACACCGGAAATCTTGTTAAAGTGGCCATTGGGGGTGGTGACAGAGGAGGGTCTTGATGTGACTGGGGACGACATGTCGTGGTGTTCGTCACGCGCCGTGACGTCAGTTCCGGTTGAAGGATCAGTTAACTGCAATAAATATCAATAGCATATAAAAATCGGATTTAGGTTGAAAAGTTACTTAAGAAATATGTCATGGTTTTTTTTTCATTAATGGCCACTAAGTTGAAGAATAAATATGACACTGCATGTAAGATTATTCCTTTGTGATACCACAAAAGTAGCAATCGGTAGCCAGTTTATGAACGGTTAGGGTGTAGGGTTTATGGTCGATTGATTTTCGAGATGTTGAGTTTGATTTAAGTACAATTAAGAGTTGAACTGCTGACGTATGCAGACAGTGAATCCATTGGGACGAATTTAGGACACATGGTACTAAGGTCTTCCAGCCTATCAGTGTGACTCGATGACTATTTTTAATTATGTACAATGAGTGATGAGGCTGTGGTCTATCCTCACAGAGTATCTGGCTTCTGTCTGTTATTATCAGTGAACCAGATGGATACGAGTATGTGTACATGGACAAGGTTGGCTCCGGGATGACGTGACGGAAGATGACAAATGCTGGCCTCCAGGCTGTAGCTGCTGAATCATCGGAGGCAGACTGGAATAGGTGATGTACCTGCATACCGCGGCCTCTTGGTGCCTCATCCCCTTGACAGTCAACTATAGGCGGGGTAATGCATGGTTTAAGTGTGTGTGTGTGTGTGTGTGTGTGGGGGGGGGGGGGGGGGGGGGGGGGGGGTGAATATAGATGGGGAACTGTCTGGTATAGGCGGGGTACTGTCTGGTATCGGCGGGGTGCTGCCTGGTATAGGCGGGGTACTGTCTGGTACAGGCGGGATACTGCCTGGTATAGGTGGGGTGCTGTCTGGTATAGGCGTGGTACTGTCTGGTATGGGCGGGGTACTGCCTGGTATGGGCGGGGTGCTGTCTGGTATAGGCGGGATACTGCCTGGTATAGGCGGGGTACTGTCTGGTATAGGCGGGGTACTGCCTGGCATAGGTGGGGTGCTGTCTGGTATAGGCGGGGTACTGGGGTACTGCCTGGTATAGGCGGGGTACTGCCTGGCATAGGTGGGGTGCTGTCTGGTATAGGCGGGGTGCTGCCTGGTATAGGCGGAGTACTGTCTGGTACAGGCGGGATACTGCCTGGTATGGGTGGGGTGCTGTCTGGTATAGGCGGGGTGCTGTCTGGTATAGGCGGGATACTGCCTGGCATAGGCGGGGTACTGTCTGGTATAGGCGGGGTACTGCCTCGCATAGGTGGGGTGCTGTCTGGTATAGGCGGGGTGCTGCCTGGTATAGGCGGAGTACTGTCTGGTACAGGCGGGATACTGCCTGGTATAGGTGGGGTGCTGTCTGGTATAGGCGGGGTACTGGGGTACTTCCTGGTATAGGCGGGGTACTGCCTGGTATAGGAGGGGTGCTGCCTGGTATAGGCGGGGTACTGTCTAGTACAGGCGGGATACTGCCTGGTATTGGTGGGGTGCCGTCTAGTATAGGCGGGGTACTGCCTGGTATAGGCGGGGTACTGCCTGGTATCGGCGGGGTACTGTCTGGTATAGGCGGGGTACTGGGGTACTGTGTGGTATAGGCGTGGTACTGCCTGGTATAGGTGGGGTGCACCCTGGTATAGGCGGAGTGCTGCCTGGTATAGGCGTGGTACTGCCTGGTATAGGTGGGGGTACTGTGTGGTATAGGTGGGGTGCTGCCTGGTATAGGTAGGGATACTGTGTGGTATAGGCGTGGTAATGCCTGATATAGGTGGGGTGCTGCCTGGTATAGGCGGAGTGCTGCCTGGTATAGGCGTGGTACTGCCTGGTATAGGTGGGGGTACTGTGTGGTATAGGCGGAGTGCTGCCTGGTATAGGCGGGGTAATACCTGGTATAGGTGGGGTACTGTCTGGTATAGGCGGGGTACTGGGGTACTGCATGGTAAAGGCAGGATACTGCCTGGTATAGGCGGGGTACTGTCTGATATAGGAGTGGGACTGCCTGGTATAGGTGGGGTGCTGCCTGGTATAGGCGGAGTGCTGCCTGGTATAAGCGGGGGTACTGCCTGGTATAGGTGGGGGTACTGTGTGGTATAGGTGGGGTGCTGCCTGGTATAGGTAGGGATACTGTGTGGTATAGGCGTGGTAATGCCTGCTATAGGTGGGGTGCTGCCTGGTTTAGGCGGAGTGCTGCCTGGTATAGGCGTGGTACTGCCTGGTATAGGTGGGGGTACTGTGTGGTATAGGCGGAGTGCTGCCTGGTATAGGCGGGGTAATACCTGGTATAGATGGGGTACTGTCTGGTATAGATGGGTACTGGGGTACTGCATGGTATAGGCAGGATACTGCCTGGTATAGGCGGGGTACTGTCTGATATAGGAGTGGGACTGCCTGGTATAGGTGGGTTGCTGCCTGGTATAGGCGGAGTGCGGCCTGGTATAAGCGGGGGTACTGCCTGGTATAGGTGGGGGTACTGTGTGGTATATGTGGGGTGATGTCTGGTATAGGCGGGGTACTTGGGTACTGCCTGGTATAGGCGGGGTGCTGTCTGGTATAGGCGGGATACTGCCTGATATAGGCGGGGTACTGGGGTATAGGTGGGGTACTTCCTGGTATAGGCGGGGTATATCAATCCTGGTATAGAATGGTAACATGAGGACTGATATAGATATTAATAACAGTTATCCCATATATATTTGATATACATGGTTATAACAGTTAACCCATATATACGAGTATATCAAGGCTGAGTATATCAAACACAGCGATACAGCACGAATCGTCGTGTGGCCATTGGTTGCTAGAGGAGACAGTGCCACAGTGACCTCACACCCACCCGTCGACAGTAGCGACAGGTGACCCACACCATCACGTGCGTCACTGTTACCGATGTCCGTCTATGTCTCCACTCACCTGTGACCAGGCCGACGTTGTTCAACATAAATGTTTACATATATGATCATCGTGCCAATGAAGCGGTACAATGCAAAAATATTTCCCCATTGGGGAAATACAAGCAAGTTATGTAGAATCAAAATTTCATACAAACACGACAATATCGAATCGATTTGTTATATTTCAAAGTTCATCCAATCATATAGACAAACGTGTCAGTATACATGTACTACGAATATGCTAAGTGGGTTCTGCTTGCTGAAAGTGTTACCTAACGCTATATGTCTACACCGAAAATGCAACATTCAGCGGGCATCAGAGTATCGTTCTAACAACGTTTAACTTGTTTGATGTCATTAATAGCCAGGTGACCAAGAAAGGCTGGTGGGGCGGTTTATTCCGCCTCGAGTGGTTAAGGTGCCCCGATAGTTCACTCACAAAGAGAGTGATTACTTCAATGTCCACTGAAATAGTTTGAGCATACAGTGTCATTTTCTGACGAAAGTCGCTGAGTCCTTTTTCTGTTCTATATTTCCACCATCCCACTTCGACAAACACCATATGATATCAAATTATTCAAGTAAAGGTTCAACCAAAATAAACTCAAAGTCACGTGTATTACATCAACAGACACTTTCGCCTTAGTTTATTGAACACCGTGCTCCACAGGAGCAACACTGCCCTGAGACTATAAATGTATTACAGATGAATATTCATTACATGCGAGATAGCTTAATATACGTCGTTTAAGAAGTGGTAGCGACTCAGAGCTCGGGTAATGTTTAGTATGAAAACATTGATTGTTTAGCATGAAAACAATCATCTATCTGCGCTGCCTTGTCTAGACCAAGCTTGGTTGAGAATATTATGACGTAATCCTCGAAATGGTGTAGCGTGAAGCTGTATTCCGTATTAATGGGTATTTATTTACCTACGCGGTTACCTGTGAAGAAGCTAATACCGGCCACGTCCATTCACTACATACGGAAAATTAAGTGAATTTCCAGCGGGTATATATACTTATATACTAGCATGACTTCTTGTAAATGTGCGAATACAGATCGCATTCATTCACACGCAGCAATATCGGCAAATCAACGACAATATACTATCGGAACAAATAGCCTCAAAACAACTGTGAAGTGACTGACTTTCAACCACCTATCAAACATAAACTGTTGTTAAAACAACCTATTGGCCAGAACGTCCATCACCAGACCGTATTCACATATGTAATGTTTAAAGTAACAAATGAACTTACCTTTGAAATAGGCCACGATAATCCAGAAATACGTATATAAAACCAGCGGCGATTGAGAGCGAGATACACGGTCTGCTAGCGACCAGAGTGGGCTGCTAAATGCGCTGAGACTGACGGGGAAACAGTTCTCACTCCCGGGTCTTAGCCTCGGGGCATATCCGTATTTCGCGCGAGCCTCATGAGGCAGCACCATAGCGACGCCTGGCGCGGACTTACTGCAACCGAGGCTCACACAAGTGGATGTGTGGTAGAGGAGGGGGAGGGAGGGTAGTAGACGAAGTCGTCATATTATGCCGTAACGCCGTCGACCTCAGGGGTAAAATGCTTCTTTGAAATGTTAGCTCCGCTGTGAGGAGCCAGCGGAGCGATACCAACCCGCGTGAAATGAGTTAGGGATGCAATATCGACAGTGGTGGTGTTGCGAGCTTTAAGCCCATTGATTTCTTCTGTGTAAGATATCGTTCCTACAATAGCAAGTAATTACACGTCTCTTTTAATGCAACGCCCCACTTACCCCGCAATAACCCCTCACCTACCTGTCGCCAGCGTCTAATTGATACTCCCCTGGATTAATGCTCTCAGACAGGTAACAATTAAGGATGATTTGCATATGAAATTGCAGGTGTGCAAATTCTGATTCAAAATGAGATCTCGAGTGTGTTGTGATTATATATCTGTGGTATCTAAGAACCTTAAATACTTATCGAATACGGCTTTGTAATCAAGTATAAAACTGTTTCAACATATTTCTTTTGTTAACCAGGTTTTCTTAACTCCGTTTGCAAATTTATTCTGTGAGGGTTTATGTACAACTATTCTTCATTATCTCATTGCATGTTCTATAAAAGTCTATAAAATATTAAAATAAGATGTCTACGAAATCAATTAAACAGATGAAATAGTTTTAAATATATCACATACACAAAACCGAAATAAGAAAAAGAAATCAGGCGTCATAACATCAAGCCAATGACATCTTATACAACGGCACCCTGACAAACCGGATCCCGTTATTGCGGAATATATTTCACCTGAGATAAATAATGGACATTAAGACTTTCACGTCTCTAGCTAGCAGAAACTTGTTATGTAACTTAGGTTACAGGGTATGCCTAATTGCCATTCTTTCCTGTATTAATACATATTTATCGATATTTAAATTGAATGCACAATTTAGTATATATCGAGAAAATTGGGAAATCTATTATTTTCAAACGATACCCATGTTCGTGTGTTTATACCCATCTTATTTAGAAACGCGATTATCAAATTGCAACACAACTCACGGTACATCGCAGTATCGTTAGTATCGAGGATACTTGATCACAATGTTCATCTTCTGTAATAACTACGGTAAGGTATATATATGTACAATGTTAGGTATACAACAGGGCACCGGTTACAGCAGGAATAGCATCTGTGTTTAATCAGTATAGACCGATACATTTCAACATATTGTTCAATTCTCTGATCAGGTCTTTTGAATACCCAGGTCCTTTCTGCGCCATTTCGGAGAATGCTGCAATTACTTGAGTTGGGTGGGAAGGAGCCTGGAGCAATGGAGAAAATGTGGACAAATTAGAGGGCAGCGATGCTAGAATTATGTCGACTAGAACTGTTAAATTCTGATGCTACTCCAGGCACTATCAATTATTATCTAATCCAGGGAACAAAGCGTTTGTGAGACCCATTGGTGGTCATAATGGTAGCCCGGGCCCCGGGCTGGCTCCCAGGGAGGTCGCGCATCACTGCCCGGCTAGACTTGGGGGGTGGGGACGGGCCCTAATGTACCCCCGGGGTAGGACTAGAACAATGGAGGCTCGTGCGGCAGATCAAGACGACTTATTTAATAAGTGTTTTATCAGTCTTTTGAAGTGTAGACCATTAGAGTTTGGGCATGGATGGACTGAATGGTTTGCTGGTCGAGAGGTGTGGAGATTAGGATATTTAGTGGTCAACCCTTGTGCCTCACCGTGGAGACATGTCTGGTCACACCCACTGCTGTGACCCCCGGGTGTTACCTGGGCCCTCGCGAGAGCCTTCGCTGACGCTGTGGTGCTACTGGTTGAAGGCGAATAGGATTTAGTTCTGACCATTTTTCTTTGTTTCGGGAACCAACTTAAAAAGTCTCTAAGTGGACTTGGCAATGTAGTGAATAGAGGTTGTGTTTTACTGCTGAACAGTTGATATATGTGGCAGTGTAGTGACTGTGTCATACCGTGGAAGAGTTGATATATGTGACACCAGAACAGTCGATATACGTGACAACAGAACAGTTGATCTATGTGACAACAGAATAGTTCATATATGTGACCTTAGAATAGTTGATATACGTGACAACAGAACAGTTCATATATGTGGCAGTGTAGTGACTGTGTCATATCGTGGAAGAGTTTATATATGTGACACCAGAACAGTCGATATATGTGACCTTAGAACAGTTGATATATGTGACCTTAGAACAGTTGATATACGTGACAGCAGAACAGTTGATATATGTGACAACAGAATAGTTCATATATGTGACCTTAGAATAGTTCATATACGTGACAACAGAACAGTTCATATACGTGACAACAGAACAGTTGATATACGTGACAGTAGAACAGTTGATATATGTGGCAATGTAGTGACTGTGTCATACCGTGAAAGAGTTGATATATGTGACAAAAGAATAGTTCATATATGTGACAACAGAACAGTTGATATACGTGACAACAGAACAGTTCATATACGTGACAACAGAACAGTTGATATACGTGACAACAGAATAGTTCATATATGTGACAACAGAACAGTTGATATACGTGACAGTAGAACAGTTGATATTTGTGACCTCAGAACAGTTGATATATGTGACCACAGAACAGTTGATAAGTGCGACAGCAGAACAGTTGATATATGTGACAACAGAAAGTTGATATATGTGACAGCAGGAGAGTTGATATATGTGACAACAGAACAGTACGTGGCAGCAGAACAGTTTATATATGTGACAACAGAACAGTTGATATATGTGACAACAGAACCGTACGTGACAACAGAACAGTTTATGTATGTGACAACAGAAGAGTTGATATATGTGACAAAAGAACAGTTGATCTATGTGACAATAGAACAGTTGATCTATGTGACAACAGAAAGTTGATATATGTGACAGCAGTCCAGTTGATATATGTGACAACAGAACAGTATGTGACAGCAGAATAGTTTTTATATATGACAACAGAACAGTTTATATATAAGACAACAGAACAGTTGATATACGTGACAGCAGAACAGTTGGTATTTGTGACAAAAGAACAGTTGATATATGTGACCACAGAACAGTTGATAAGTGCGACAGCAGAACATGTGACAACAGAACAGTACGTGACAACAGAACAGTTGATATATGTGACAACAGAACCGTACGTGACAACAGAACAGTTGATATACGTGACAGCAGAAAAGTTGATATACGTGACAACAGAACAGTTGATATATGTGACCACAGAACAGTTATTATACGTACAGCAGAACAGTTGATATACGTGACAGCAGAACAGTATGTGACAGCAGAACAGTTGATATACGTGACAACAGAACAGTTGATATATGTGACAACAGAACAGTTGATATATGTGACAACAGAACAGTTGATATATGTGACAACAGAACATGTGACGAAAGAACAGTTGATTTATGTGACAACAGAACAGTATGTGACAGCAGAACAGTTGATTTATGTGACCACAGAACAGTTGATAAGTGCGACAGCAGAACATGTGACAACAGAACAGTGAGGGACAGCAGAACAGTTGATATACGTGACAGCAGAACAGTTGATATACGTGACAACAGAACAGTTGATAGATGTGACCACAGAACAGTTGATATACGTGACAACAGAACAGTTGATATACGTGACAGCAGAACAGTTGATATATGTGACAAAAGAACAGTTGATATATGTGACAACAGAACAGTATGTGACAGCAGAATAGTTGATATATGTGAGAACAGAACAGTTGATCTATGTGACAACAGAACAGTTGATATATGTGACAACAGAACAGTTGATCTATGTGACAACAGAACAGTTGATATATGTGACAAAAGAACAGTTGATATATGTGACCACAGAACAGTTGATATATTTGACAGCAGAACGGTTGATATGTGTGACATATTTTCGTGTGAAGGTATTTTCATTCAGATTCCGTTATACTAATTATAAGACGAAAGCCCTAAATAATGCAGGTCTAAAACGTTTATAATTTTGGTGACACCGAGGAGCACCGGTATTGTGCCGACAAGGAACCCTACACACCCTACAAACATTAGACTCTGAGACGGCGAACTGAGACGTCTCTCACCACTTGGCTAACCCACCATCCTCATCAACTTTTGGCAAGACTTTACCCGCCCGGGTATCCCACCGCCCAATATTTATATAGCATAAGACATTATTTCATATTTGCAGGATAGCGATCTATAATCTCACGAACCACTTAACTCATATTGATGGAAATATGTATTAGAAATGGGAGAAATCACGAAAACCTGAGAACGCGAGACTTTGACCAAATCTCGCGTATAGCGAGAACACCAACAACAGTTTTCCTTGCAGAGCTCTGCGAAAAGATTGAGTGTGGATTATTCTAACCAATCAGGCCCGGTCGAGAGTGTACAGCTCGCGGGCATTGAGCACCTGCCGCACGGACTAAATCCACGAGATGGACCACGTGACCGGCTTCGTTTAATACGTAATTGTAGTTCCGATGACACAGTAGTCTTCAGTGCTGTAGGACATACGCGATTTTAATTTGTCTTACATTTCTCTAAACTTTAATCGCTGTGTGTGTCGTATGGACTTTTCTGTTAAAGGTTTTAACCAAAGTCCTTAATGACAGAAGGACAGAAATCATCACCTTGGCCCTTGGCGATAATTCCGTCTTAATATAATTTTGAACATCGCCAGAGACTAAAACAAATACTGTTCGATATTTTATGACAACCCGTCAAATACGTAATGATTCAAGGAGTCACATTATATACATCTAGTTGTATAAGATCATCATTATTCATCTCCAAAAAGGACATTCGCGCATATGTTGATTTGATGCTGGAGGCAGAAGTACCCGATTAACAGGAGTACCAAATTAATATATGAGGCGAAACGGGTCCTTACAAGTTAGTTTAAAGTTCCACCGCTTCCTGTTCCCGACAAGAAAATCGCGTTCAAAAATCGCAGGATGTAGCTTTAGTAGGGAGAGACACTAAAACGATTTTGTAGTCGTACTAGTTTATGTACGGGATTTATTTGTTAAAATCTGTA